CAGCTACAGTTTTTGTACAGTTTTTGTAGCTGCTGACTTTCTTTTTTTTCTTTTCAGCTGGAACTTCGCTTTAAGTTGATTATTGTAACTTATGGGATCAGAGATCTACTTTAATTTCTTACCCCAACAGTGCCGGTCTTCAGCTTGAATTTGCTTCCTCCCTTCATGGCCCCAAACAAGGGTAAGGTCAGCTTCTTGGCCTTGGGGTCTTCTGCCGCTGGGCTGAGAAAAGACGGAAACGTTTAGTCCAACACTACAATGTATGTCATCCATGCAGATGTACCCCAACATTCGGGGGGATACACTTCCATCAACTTCAAATCTTCAAAACCACAATTACACCGTGTGCATAGCTATCAGGCAAGTGAGCATTTTGACCAAATCATCATTTTTAGGCATATTGTCCGACTCCAAGCTGTATAAAATGTGAATTCTTATTGGATGTACGCATATCAGGTGATCTGTATTTGTGTAATGAGGGAGGGTGTGGCCTAGGGAGATCAACACCCTATATCAAGGTGTGCATAAAATTATTAGGCAGCTTCTTTTCCTCAGGCAAAATGGGCCAAAAAAAAAGTTACCCAACTCTGAAAAGTCAAAAAGTCTTTCAGAGAGATGCGGCACTCTAGAAATTGCAAAGACATTGGGGCGCGATCACAGAGCCATCAAAGAGTCAAAAGGGTCGCAAGAAATGTGTTGGAAAATAAAAAAAAGACGCAAATTTACTGCCAAAGAGATGAAGACTCAAAACGTGAAGCTACCAGGAAGCCATTATCCTCCAGTGCTGTCATATTCCAGAACTGCAAGCTACCTGAAGTGCCCAGAAGTACAAGGTGTTCAGTGCTCAGAGTCATGGCCAAGGAGACCCGACCACCGCTGAACAAGACACAAGATGAAACATCAAGACTGGGCCAAGAAATATTGGAAGACAGATTTTTCAAAGGTTTCATGGGCTGACGAGATGAGTGACTCTTGATGGATCAGATGGATGGGCCCGTGGCTGGATCAGTCATGGCCAAGGTAAGGAGACCCGACCACCACTGAACAAGACACGTAAGATTAAGCATCAAGACTGGGCCGAGAAATATCGGAAGACAGATTTTTCAAAGGTTTTATGAACTGATGAGATGAGTGACTCTTGATGGACCGGCCCGTGGCTGGATCAGCCATGGCCAAGCTAAGGAGACCCGACCACCACTGAACAAGACACATGAAGATGAAACATCAAGACTGGCCAAGAAATATCATTTCATATCAATATCATTTCATCAGTCCATAAAACCTTTGCAAAATCTGCCTTCCGATATTTCTTGATCCAGTATTGATGTTTCAACTTATGCGTCTTGTTCAGTGGTGGTCGGGTCTACTGACCTTGGCCATGACTGATCCAGCCACGGGCCCATCCATCCGGTCCATCAAGAGTCACTCATGTCATCAGTCCATAAACCTTTGAAAAAAATCTCTCGATGGACCAGATGGATGGGCCTGTGGCTGGATCCATCGTGGCCAAGGTAAGGAGACCCGACCACCACTGAACAAGACACACAAGATGAAACATCAAGACCAGGCCAAGAAATATCAATTCATATCAATATCATTTCATCAGTCCATAAAAGTGACTCTTTGGAAAATCCTGCCTTCCATGGCCATAAGGAGACTTGATCCACTGTATATGATGTTTCAACTTATATCGTCTTTTTCAGTGGTGGTGACGGAGTGACTCCTGATGGACCTTGGTCCATGGCCAAGGTAAGAGACCCCGACCACGGGCCCAAGACCATAAGATGAAACCAAGACTGGGCCAAGAAAATATCAGAAGACCGTCACTCATGTCATCAGTCCATAAAACCTTTGAAAAATCTCTTGATGGACCAGATGGATGGGCCCGTGGCTGGATCCATCATGGCCAAGGTAAGGAGACCCGACCACCACTGAACAGACACACAAGATGAAACATCAAGACCAGGCCAAGAAATATCGGAAGACAGATTTATTCAAAGGTTTTATGGGCTGATGAGATGAGTGACTCTTGATGGATCAGATGGATGGGCCTGTGGCTGGATCAGTCCATGGCCAAGGTAAGGAGACCCGACTACCACTGAACAAGACATATAAGATGAAACATCAAGACTGGGTCAAGAAATATCGGAAGACAGATTTTTCAAAGGTTTCATGGACTGATGACATGAGTGACTCTTGATGGACCAGTGGCTGGATCAGTCATGGCCAAGGGTAAGGAGACCCGACCACCACTGAACAAGACACATAAGATGAAACATCAAGACTGGGCCAAGAAATATCAGAAGACCGTCACTCATCTCATCAGTCCATAAAACCTTTGAAAAATCTCTTGATGGACCAGATGGATGAACCCGTGGCTGGATTAGTCATGGCCAAGGTAAGGAGACCCGACCACCACTGAACAAGACACGTAAGATTAAACATCAAGACTGGGCCGAGAAATATCGGAAAACAGATTTTTCAAAGGTTTTGTTAGCTGATGAGATAAGTGACTCTTGATGGACGAGTCATGGCCAAGGTAAGGAGACCCGACCACCACTGAACAAGACACACAAGATGAAACATCAAGACCGGGCCAAGAAAAATTGGAAGACAGATTTATTTAAAGGTTTTATTGGGCTGATGTGATGAGTGACTCTTGATGGATCAGATGGATGGGCCAGTGGTTGGATCAGTAATGGGCACAGAGCTCCACTTTAATCATACCAGTACCCCACCTCGCTGGCATATGAGTCAAAGAGGAGCTAGATGGACCTTTTTTGGTTGAAGATGGACTCAAAATCAACTCCCAAACCTCCTGACAGTTTTTAGAAGACACTTTCTTCAAGCAGTGGTACAGGAAAAAGTCTACATCTTTCAAGAAGACCATGATATGTATGTAGGACAATGCTCCATCACCTGTACCCAAGTACTCCACTGCGTGCCTAGCCAGTAAAGGCCTTAAATATGAAAGAATATCATGGCCCCCTTCCTCACCTGACCTAAACCCTACTGAGAACTTGTTGGCCCTTCCTAAACGGGAAACTTACGGTGAAGGAAAACCACACACCTCTCTAAACAGTGTCAAGGAGGCTGTGGTTGCTGCTGCACAAAAAGTTGAATGTTTAACAAATCAAGAAACCGACTCCATGAATGAAGATGAGTGACTCTTGAAAGGCTTATGAATGTTATAGAAAAGAAGGGCGGCTATATTGGTCACCGATTTTTTTTTTTTTTTTTTTTTAAATGTCAGAAATATTTGTAAATTTTGAGTCATTATTCTTACTTTAACAGATGACAATAAACAGGTGAGATGGGAAGAGCTTCAATCTTAATTTTGCACACGAAGGCCTCATGCACACAGGACATTAAAAAACAAAAAACAAACCAAAAAAAAAACAAACAAAACAAAGCCAAAACACAACAAAAAAAAACAAAAAACCCCCAAAACACTAAAACCAAAAAAACAAACCTCTCCTAGAAGCTGTCCTGCTTGCAGTAGCATTTTTGCAGAAAAAATGCCTGACATTTGTAAAATGTATCTAACGCTTTTACAAGAGTTCAGGTGCGTTTCCAAGCGCCAAGTGCTTGGGAGTTAATTTCATTGGCTAGAATAAAAATTTATTCTGTCCACTGAAATGAATGCTCATGCGCAAAACACACCTAGCGTGTAGCCGCGTCAAGCATTTTTTTTCTGCCAAAACGCTGCTGCTCCTGGATGTACTGGACCTGAGGTTTTTTTCCTGCTGGTTAACACTACTGCTACTAAAAGCAAAAAAAAAATAAAAAAAGCCAAAAAACTAAAAGCCTGATGCCCATAAAAGCGTCTGCAAAAATGCCCTGTGTGCATGAGGCCTTAGGGGTGTCAGGCGTTTTTTTACAGCTTCCAAAGGGCCCCCCATGTTGTCCATGCACACAGACTTTTAGAAGCTTTTAGTAGCAGTAGCGTTTACCATCAGGTAAAAAAAAAACCCCCCAAACCCAAAAAGCGTTTTGGCAGAAAAAAAATTGCTTGACATGGCAAAGCACTTGGGAAAAGCACTAGATACTTTTGCAAGTGTCAGGTGTTTTTCCTGAAAAAACGCTGCTGCTAAAAGGACAGCTTTTTTTTTTTTTGTTTTTTTTTAACACCCTGTGAGCACGAGGCCTAATAGTTGCCCAAATTTGTGCAAAATAAAAAAATAAAAGCAAAAACCTCACTTTTACTTTCTTAAATACTCTGGTCTCAGATTACACTCAGCTCCCTACTCTATGCTGTACAGTGAGGCCAGGCACTTGAGCAGGTATGAACCAAAATAAACAGCGCAAAACAATACCCAAACCAAATTAATTCATAATAATAAATTAGAAAATTAAAAATAAAATAAATAGTGTCCAAAAAAACTTTTAAATAACAAAGTCCTTTATCCCAAATTCCAGGGTGCTTAAAAAAAAAAATCTTAATATTTTCCTCCTATGATATGCGCTTCCACCCTCCACCAGTGCTGTGACCAACATAAACCGCACTCACCAGATATTGGTGAATCGTAGGCCTTTTAGGGATCCTACACCCTTTACAGCCTCCAGACCACCATTCCACCATACAGGTCTTGAGAACGCCCAGTGGGAGGGGCGAAACGCGTCGACGCACTTCCGGTCTGCCGTCTGAACGTCTCACGCAACTTCCAGTGAGTGGAACGCACGCCGAGCGGTGAGTTCCAAGCGGCCATTTTTGAGATCTGGTTAATACACATACTGTCATCCTCTGCAGTCCAAGCTGTGAGGTTTCTGGCGCTGTCCCTGGATGTCATGCTGATGGAGGCTAATAATGCTTTTATGGATCTAGTGAAATGGGAGTGGCCTGATATTAACGAATGTTATGCGGTCATTAGCAATATTACACTATATACAATTTTTTCCTTTGGCACAACTGTGGAGCTGGTTTGGAAGTCTATCAGGAAGTGAGTGGAAGGATCATCCGAGACCTGTATGGTGGAATGGAGGTCTGGAGGCTGTAAAGGGTGTAGGATCCCTAAAAGGCCTACTATTCACCAATATCTGGGGAGTGCGGTTTATGTTGGTCACAGCAATGGTGGAGGGTGGAAGCGCATATCATAGGAGGAAAATATTAAGATTTTTTTTTAAAGGAACCTGGAATTTGGGATAAAGGACTTTGTTATTTAACCACTAGCCTACCGGCACTTCCACCCCCTTCCTGCCTACCGGCACTTCCACCCCCTTCCTGCCTACCGGACGCTTCCACCCCCTTCCTGCCCACCGGACGCTTCCACCCCCTTCCTGCCCACCGGGCGCTTCCACCCCCTTCCTGCCCACCGGGCGCTTCCACCCCCTTCCTGCCCACCGGGCGCTTCCACCCCCTTCCTGCCCACCGGGCGCTTCCACCCCCTTCCTGCCCACCGGGCGCTTCCACCCCCTTCCTGCCCACCGGGCGCTTCCACCCCCTTCCTGCCCACCCGCTTCCACCCCCTTCCTGCCTACGGGGCGCTTCCACCCCCTTCCTGCCTACGGGGCACACTTCCACCCCCTTCCTGCCTACGGGGCACTTCCACCCCCCCTTCCTGCCTACGGGGCACTTCCACCCCCTTCCTGCCTACGGGGCACTTCCACCCCCTTCCTGCCTACGGGGCACTTCCACCCCCTTCCTGCCTACGGGGCACTTCCACCCCCTTCCTGCCTACGGGGCACTTCCACCCCCTTCCTGCCTACGGGGCACTTCCACCCCCTTCCTGCCTACGGGGCACTTCCACCCCCTTCCTGCCTACGGGGCACTTCCACCCCCTTCCTGCCTACGGGGCACTTCCACCCCCTTCCTGCCTACGGGGCACTTCCACCCCCTTCCTGCCTACGGGGCACTTCCACCCCCTTCCTGCCTACCGGGCACTTCCACCCCCTTCCTGCCTACGGGCACTTCTACCCCCTTCCTGCCTACGGGCACTTCTACCCCCTTCCTGCCTACGGGGCACTTCTACCCCCTTCCTGCCTACGGGGCACTTCTACCCCCTTCCTGCCTACGGGGCACTTCTACCCCCTTCCTGCCTACGGGGCACTTCTACCCCCTTCCTGCCTACGGGGCACTTCTACCCCTTCCTGCCTACGGGGCACTTCTACCCCCTTCCTGCCTACGGGCACTTCTACCCCCTTCCTGCCTACAGGACACTGTCACCCCGATACTGATGAGCACTGACTGCTGGCACTTCTGGGGCCACACTGATCATCAGTGTACATATCCCCTCTGCGGAAAGCCAATTACCGGGTCTCCTCTCCTCTGTCAGTGTGACAGCTCGAGTGGAGAGAGATGCCGATAACCGTCATTTCCGTGTTTACATGTGATCAGCTGTGATTGGACACAGCTGATCACATGACCGAGCCGACATCTTCGGCTCTGTGATCCCCTGTGTCCGAGGGACACAGAGCACCGCTAATCGCCGTGCTGCGCGCTCCCCGAGCCACGCATGCGTGGTGAGAATGGGAGGACGTCATATGACGTCCTATCTGACCGAGAGAACCGCCTTGCATCCGTCATTGGACTATATGGCGGGCGGACGGTGTTTTTTTGGAAAAGTTTTTTTTGGACACTATGAATTTTATTTTTAATTTTCTAATTTATTATTATGAATTAGTTTGGTTTGGGTATTGTTTTGTGCTGTTTATGTTGGTTCATATTATTTGGTGTTTTTCACTAGTGTACAGCAGCATTTCATACCTTTGTTTGGCGATTATTCTGTGGCGCAGGAGTGAGTATTTTTTAACTTGAGCAAGTATGTGTGAGGGGCGAACAACAACTTTATCTAGTTATATTAACCAGTTGCCCTCCAGGCTATAGCAGAAGTACTGCTACAGGGCGGCAGGGCTGCGCTAAATCACGTGTATGTATATATATTTGAGTTGTATTTCTGGGTAGGTGCTCGCGCCGCTATTGGCGGCTAGAGATGTCAATCACCGGGTCCAGGCTGGTGTTGCCCAGCCGGCACTCAGCGATTGTCAGGCAAAGCTGACAGGGGAGGTAATAGCTGTGGGGGGAGGAGCTGATCGAGAAATAAATGGCAGTTTACTAGGTAGAAGGATAGACTTCTTTAAAGAGAAAGGATTTCAGGGATCGTCTGAAGGAGACAGCCGGACAGATTGGGGTAGGGAGTTCCATAGGATGGGAGGAGCTCGGGAGAAGTCCTGGAGGTAAGCATGGGAGGCGACACAGGAACAAGTTGTGGATGGCTTTGTAAGTTGTTAGTATTTTGAATTTTATTCATTGGGCGAGTGAAAGCCAGTTGAGGGATTGGCAGAGAGGGGTGGAGGATACTGAATGGAAGCCAGTGGAGGGATTGGCAGAAAGGGGTGGAGGACACTGAATAGAAGCAGTGGAGGGATTGGCAGAGAGGGGTGGAGGACGCTGATGGAGGCCAGTGGAGGGATTGGCAGAGAGGGGTGGAGGACATTGCATGGAGGCCAGTGGAGGGATTGGCAGAGAGGGGTGGAGGACACTGCATGGAGGCCAGTGGAGGGATTGGCAGAGAGGGGTGGAGGACACTGAATGGAAGCCAGTGGAGGGATTGGCAGAGAGGGGTGTGGGGGCACTGATTGGAGGCCAGTTGGGCAAGTGAATTTGCACAGCATTTCTCGCACACTGCACAGCGCCGAGCGTAATCTGAGACCTGAGTGGAGGGAATGGACACCCCTCTCTACACAGGCTTATAGGGAAATATACACAGCTGAGGCTGCCAATCACCTGTCGTGTGCTGGGGGGGGGCGCGTCCGGGATTGTCTGGTATTATTTATTTAAACAATTATGTTTAAATAAAAAAAAAAAAAAAAAAAAAATCCCTGGTGTTCTTGCCATGAAGGTCTTTGTTGAGGCACTTCCTGTTATGGGGTGACAACTGTCTCCCAAGTTGTACTGTTGTTGTGCACATTTGAGACTATGAGCAGCTGAGCCAACACACATCGGAGTGAGTGCATGGCGACAGGAAGGGGCTATGGAGGAGACCATGTGAAGGATTTTTTCTATGTACAGTGGTACCTCGGTTTACAAATGTAATGCGCTCTGCGGGACTGAAGCATTATTTTTAATGGATTTTCATTTGTAAACCGAAAATTACGTAAACCGAGGCACCACTGAATCTGGATTTTTTTTTTTTTTCCTTGGAATGGGCGGTCCCTTTTAGGAATTAAAGCTGAACCAAGCTGTATCTGAGCACCGCAAACTGAAACCGCGATTTAATTCACTTTCATATATTCATAGCAAACTCCCCCATCCATTCATGTCTCTATGCTTTATTTTGTTAAGAAATCACTTTGAAACACACACCCCTAGCATATCTAGCTGCGGCCATTTTGAGTAAGGGCAGATGATTCCTGTAGCATTTACTTCCTGGAATCCATCTGCCCTTAGCTCAGGCGCAATGGTGTGCTTAGCTGAGAAAGTCCCTCCTCCCATAAAGACTTGTGGGATGTACATTGTTTTGGCCTAGGCCAGAAGCCAGGAAGTAACGGAAGAAATGAAAAAAAGAAAGAAAAAAAAAGAAAGAAAAAAAGGAAAAAAAAAGAAAGAAAAAAGAAAAAGAGAAAGAAAGAAAAAAAAAAAGAGAAAAAGAAAAGAAAAAAGAACGAAAAAGAAAAAGAGAAAGAAAGAAAAAAGAAAAAGAGAAAGAAAAAGAAAAAGAAAAAGAAAAAGAAAAAGAAAAGAAAAAGAAAAGAAGAAAAAGAAAAAGAGAAAGAAAGAGAAAGAGAAAGAAAGAAAAAGAGAAAGAAAAAGAAAAAAGAGAAAGAAAGAAAAAGAGAAAGAAAAAGAAAAAGAGAAAGAAAGAAAAAGAGAAAGAAAAAGAAAAAGAGAAAGAAAAGAAAAAAAAAAAAAAAAGAGAAAGCAAGAAAAAAGAAAAAAGAGAAAGAAAGAAAAAAGAAAAAAGAGAAAGAAAGAAAAAAGAAAGAGAAAGAAAAAAAGAAAAAAGAAAGAAAAAAGAAAGAGAAAGAAAAAGAAAGAGAAAGAAAAAGAAAAAGAGAAAGAAAGAAAAAAGAAAGAGAAAGAGAAAGAAAAAGAAAGAGAAAGAGAAAGAAAAAGAAAGAGAAGAAAAAGAGAAAGAGAAAAAGAAAAAGAAAAAGAAAGAAAAAGAAAGAGAAAGAAAAAGAAAAAGAAAAAGAAAGAGAAAAGAAATAAAAAGAAAAGAAAAAGAGAAAGAAAGACAAAGAAAGAAAAGGAAGAAAAAGAAAAAGAAAGAAAAAGAGAAAGAGAAAGAGAAAGAAAAAGAGAAAGAGAAAGAAAAAGAGAAAGAGAAAAAGAGAAAGAGAAAGAAAAAAAAGAGAAAGAAAAAAAGAGAAAAAAAGAAAGAGAAAAAGAAAGAAAAAAGAAAAAGAAAAAGAAAAAAAAAAGAAAGAAAACGAAAGAAAAAAAAACGAAAGAAAAAAAAGAAAGAAAGAAAAAAGAAAGAAAGAAAAAAAAAAAGAAAGAAAGAAAGAAAGAAAAAGAAAGAAAAAGAAAGAAAGAAAAAGAAAGAAAAAGAAAGAAAGAGAAAAAAGAAAGAAAGAAAAAAAAAAAAAAAAAGAGAAAAAAGAAAAAAGAAAGAAAAATTTGAGAAAGAAAAAAGAAAGAAGAAAAAGAAAAAAGAAAAAGAAAGAAAGAAAAACAAGAGTTTAATTCCGCTTTAAGATGTACATATCCAGTTGTGGAAGTCTCTGGATGAAATGCTGCTTTTATTTGCAGACACTGAGCCCCCCCCCGTCCCGGTAAATCTCTGAGGTCGTATCTGATACATTGTACTCGGTGAATGATTGCTTAGGAAGGTAATCGCACCGCAGAGAGAGAGGACGGGAACGCTTTGCTCGCTCTCCAGTTCTCAGGACGGTTACAGAACACAGAAGACTTCATCAACTCTCCACAGCCGCTTTATAGGCCGTAAATTGGAAGACGCAGCCAGGGAGGAGATTTCCCCGGGGAAGGCAGGCGAACGCGCGGCGTGAATACTGAAGCGCGAGGACTCACCTGGCCTTCAGCTCGGGGAGTTTGGTGGGCTGGACAATCTTTATCAGACTCGTCAGCCTCTGCTGCTCCTTCTTCAGCTCCAGGGACTGCAGGTGAAGCTTCTTCCGGGACACGCTGTCCAGAGAGCTCCCAGCTTTCATCTCGGTCATGAAGGCGTCCAGGGAGTCCTGCGCAGAAGGCGGGGTCACACCTGCCAGAGAACACAGTTACGTTACCATAGACCGACATGGCGGCACAACCACGGCTGGTTACTTCAGCCAAAAATGAGACACTCCGGCCACAGTGTAGATTTATGTCACACATTTATACAATGCCAACATTTTAAAGGAACAGTTCACTTTAAAGCGGAGTTCCACCTAAAGAAAAAAAAAAAATACATAAATAAAAAGTCAGCAGCTACAAAAACTACAAAATCTGGAGCTGCTGACTATTAAAATGCAGACATTTACCTGTCCATCGGTCCAGAGGTGTCCTCACCATGGATGGTTTCACCAGCCGTCGTCTTCTCTCCCCGGCATCTTCAGTGTGGGCACCCGGCTGGGACAGCTTGTGGCTTTGTGAATGGCCCCGTAGTCTCCTGGGACCTGCTGTTACGTGTCCCATTACAGGGGGGAGGACAACCTCCGCTTCAGATCGCCTAGGCGATCGCAGAAGTGGGAGTGGATACCTGTCAAATTCGTGTACCCGCTCCCCAAAGGTGCCAATACTTAATTGGGAGCATCTGTGGTGCTGAAGCCAACGCGGAGGCCTTTGTGGCGATGAAGCCAACGCGGAGGCGTCTGCGGCCCTGAAGCCAAACGCGGAGGTAAATTTACACTGAAGTCAATGGGACACAGTGTGCGAACCCAGGCACCAGGACACAATTTCTAATTGCCATGACGACCTGGCACCTGGGATTTGTCGAGCCCTGCTATATGCTCATGAGACTTGAGAAAGGGGTATACTAGTCGCGAAACTTGTCTGTCCCCCCCAGTGTTTTCCCCTCATCACAGGGGGTTGTGCTGCCAAAGTGCTGTCTTCCTGAACCTCTTCTGTGCAGCTGCCCTGGTTAGCTCTCTCTGCTCCCATTGGATGCCTGTCATCCCCCGGGTCCCAGCTGTTTCATACCATTGGTTGGGCCAGTGTGTGGATCCTGGCTCTTCCCCCGACACCCCACTGGGTGTGTTGTGATGCTCAGATACCAGACTGGATGGTTTCTATGTCGACAAGTGGATGCAGTTTTCATTCCAATAAAGTGGAATTGTTATACGGACATTGCTCTGCTGTTTTCTCTTTCCCATTCGGCTTCCCAAGATGGCTGTGCAGATGCTGCGCCTGATGTACGGCCGATCGCAGTTTCAAGCACCACCACCAATCTTCTCTATGTGTCGTCATTCCTGAGACAAGATCCCCATTCCTCTGGGACTGTTGTTCCCGGATCCCTTTCTATACTCCATCTGTACAAGCTGGGGCTACAGTTCAACCTCTTCCCGACCGCCCTACAGAACTACTGCTACAGGGCGGCAGGGCTGCGCACAATCACATACATATACGAGATTTTCAATTTCGGGGTACAGGGCCCCTGCCGCCATTGCTGGCGATCACCGGGTCCTGGCCGGAGATTCGCTGCCGGCACCCAGCGATCGCTGAAAACACTGACGGGGGAGAGGTCTGTATGTAAACAATACAGATCTCTCCTGTCAGCACCAGCACGCTGCTTTGTATTGCTCTGCATAGCAGAGCAATACAAAGCAGCGTGCTTACACACAGACAAAACTGTAAAAAAGCACAGTTAACCCTTTGATCGCGCAGCCATTCGCGGCCTCAGCTGTCAATCACCGGGTCCTGGCCGGTGATTCCTTGTCGGCACCCAGCGATCTCCAAGGTTTTCTGACGGGGGAGAGACCTGTATGTAATCAACACAGATCTCTCCTGTCAGCACCGACATGCTGCTTTGTATTGCTCTGCATAGCAGCATGCGTACAGTGAAACACTTACCCAGCACACAGGTAACCCTTTGATCGCCCCGCATTTTAACCCCTTCCTGCCCAGTGCCATTAGTACAGTGTCAGGGCTTTTTATTAGCCCTGATCACTGTATTAGTGTCAGTGGGGACGTCAGTGACACCAAGTCAGTCCCCTCCCCCCCCCCCCAGTGTCAGAATGCCCCCCGCAGTCCCGCTATAAGTCGCTGATGGCTGCCACTACTAGTATTAAAAAAACAAAATTAAAAAATTGCAGTATTTATCCATTTGTAGACATTTTATCTTTCACGGAAACCAATTAATTTACACGTATCGGGATTTTTTTTCAGCAAAGACACGAAGCAGAATACATTTTGGCTGAAATTTATGATGAAATTTGATTTTTTTTTTATTTTTTTTACTGGACGTGTTTTCTAGCAAAAAAAAGTTTTTTTTTTCTCAAAAATTGTCGGTTTTTTTTTTTTTATACTGCACAAAAAAAAAAAAAAAAAAAAAATGCAGAGGTGACCAATTACCACTGAAAGAAAGCTCTATTTGCGACCGCGCAATTTGTTAAAGTAACGCAGTGACGTATTGCAAAAAATGGCCTGGGCAGGAGAGCGAGGGGTTAAATAGCCACCAGTTTGCAGACACCCATCGCACCCATAATATGGCGGACGCATGCAGACCCCTCCCAAGGGCTGAGTTCAGGTGTTTCCAGTGAAGAGTTCTGGTAAAGTGGAACTCCGGGTGTCAAAGTAATCTCTCTACTCCTGATCACCGTATCCGCGTGAAGACCCCGTCTTTTCTGACACTTTTTGTTTCCATGTAAAAAAATCAGTGTTTTTGCTAGAAAATTTCTTCGAACCCCCAAACATTCTACATTTTTTTTTTTTAAAGCAGAGGCCCTAGAGAATGTCGGTCTTTTTTTTTATAGAGCATAAAAAAAAAAAAAAAAAAAAAAAAAAAAAACAAAACAAAAAAAAAAAAAAAAAACGCAAAGGGGATCAAATACCACCGAAAGAAAGCTCTATTTGTGGGTAACAGAAGACAAATTTCATTTGGGTGCAGCGTTGCATGACCGCACAATTGTCAGTTAAAGTAATGCAGCGCCATAATGCAGAAAATGGCCGGTCAGGAAGGGGGGAATCCTCTGGAAGGCGAGGGGGGGGGGGGGGGGGAATCCTCTGGAGGGCGAGGGGAGGGGGGGGGAATCCTCTGGAGGGCGAGGGGTCATATAGGCTCTGTGGACTACATTACCTGTTTGAGATGTTCTCAGCTTTGCGGCGACCTCCAAGATTTCCTTTTCCACGAGCTCCAGTTTCGCGGTCTAGAAAACAAAATAAGTCAGTTTCACTTTTAGCAAAAGAAAAAATTCACTTTTTTGGCCAGACTGACACCCCGCTCTTCATTAATGCGACACTTCCCACCTGCGGTGCTCACAGCTACTGGGGACTCTAAGTGTTCTTACACAAAAAAAGCCTCCAGTGGGCTCAGTTTAACCCCTTCCGGTCCGGACACTTTCCCCCCCCTTCCGGTCCGGACACTTTTCCCCCCCTTCCGGTCCGGACACTTTCACCCCCTTCCGGTCCGGACACTTTCACCCCCTTCCGGTCCGGACACTTTCACCCCCTTCCGGTCCGGACACTTTCACCCCCCCTTCCGGTCCGGACACTTTCACCCCCCCTTCCGGTCCGGACACTTTCACCCCCCCTTCCACCCCCCCTTCCAGTCCGGACACTTTCACCCCCCCCTTCCAGTCCGGACACTTTCACCCCCCCTTCCAGTCCGGACACTTTCACCCCCCCTTCCAGTCCGGACACTTTCACCCCCCCTTCCAGTCCGGACACTTTCACCCCCCCTTCCAGTCCCGGACACTTTCCACCCCCCCTTCCAGTCCGGACACTTTCACCCCCCCTTCCAGTCCGGACACTTTCACCCCCCCTTCCAGTCCGGACACTTTCACCCCCCCTTCCAGTCCGGACACTTTCACCCCCCCTTCCAGTCCGGACACTTTCACCCCCCCCTTCCAGTCCGGACACTTTCACCCCCCCTTCCAGTCCGGACACTTTCACCCCCCCCCTTCCAGTCCGGACACTTTCACCCCCCCCTTCCACTCCGGACACTTTCACCCCCCCTTCCACTCCGGACACTTTCACCCCCCCTTCCATTCCGGACACTTTCACCCCCCCTTCCATTCCGGACACTTTCACCCCCCCTTCCATTCCGGACACTTTCACCCCCCCTTCCACTCCGGACACTTTCCCCCCCTTCCACTCCGGACACTTTCCCCCCCTTCCACTCCGGACACTTTCCCCCCCTTCCACTCCGGACACTTTCCCCCCCTTCCACTCCGGACACTTTCCCCCCCTTCCACTCCGGACACTTTCCCCCCTTCCAGTCCGGACACTTTCCCCCCCCTTCCACTCCGGACACTCCCCCCCCCCCCTTCAAAAAATTATAATTTTTTAAACATTTTTTTTTACATTTTTATATTATTATTTTTTTTTTTTTTACATACTGTCACCCTAGCAGTAGTATCACCATGGTGACACTGTACTACTTGTGGGGGATGATGATTTTTTTTCTTCTTTTTTTACACCCATAAAATGCTATAAAAGCAATAATTTCTCCTTCTCTCTGGCTGCATTCTTGCAGCCATTGAGAAATACTGTGAGAGCCATGATTGGTCACCGCTTGTCACATGGTACAGGCCTGTTGTAAGTGGCCCTGTACCATGTGACCTCTGTGATCATTCACAGATTTCACAAGTAGTAAGCAATGTCAGAAGTGACATCTTGCTTACTACTATTCATGTGATCACTGATTGGCCAATCAGTGATCACATGATTGGGACCTCACACAGAGATCTGTGTCCGGAGGACACAGCGGGCACCGATCGCGGTGCTGCGTGATCCCAGGGACCGCACACAGGCAGTGAATGTGGGGGGGGGGGGGGGACGTTTAGAAACGTCAACCCGCTTCAACAGCACTCCTGTCCGGCTGTTTATCTTCATGGGCCAGATGGGAAGTGGTTAAAAATCCTGATCACTTCCCCAGAGTAGTGCAGCGTTACTATATTTCTTTGGTCACTGCAGTTTGTTAAAGAAAAAAAAAATAATAATTTTTCGTATTGGCCATTCAGTGTCCCTGATCAATGTCACACCAGTTACACTATATTGCCCCAAGTATTGTCCCCGCCCTCCCAATCATGTGATTCAGGTGTTCCAATCCCCTCCATATCATGTGATTCAGGTGTTCCAATCCCCTCCATATCATGTGATTCAGGTGTTCCAATCCCCTCCATATCATGTGATTCAGGTGTTCCAATCCCCTCCATATCATGTGATTCAGGTGTTCCAATCCCCTCCATATCATGTGATTCAGGTGTTCCAATCCCCTCCATATCATGTGACTCAGGTGTTCCAATCCCCTCCATATCATGTGATTCAGGTGTTCCAATCCCCTCCATATCATGTGATTCAGGCGCTCCAATCCCCTCCATGGACACAGGTGTATACAATCAAGCCCCTAGACATGCAGACGGCTTCTACAAACATTGGTGAAAGAATGGGTCGCTCTCAGGAGCTCAGTGACTCCAAGCGTGGTCCCGTGATAGGTGGCCACCTGGGCAATAAGTCCATCCCTGACATTTCCTGGCTACTAAATATTCCACGCTCACCTGTTAGTGGGATTATAACAAAGTGGAAGCAACTGGGAACAACAGCCACTCAGCCACCAAGTGGTAGGCCACGTCACATGACAGGGCGGGGTCAGCACATGCTGAAGCGCACAGTGCGCAGAAGTCACCAACTGTCTGCAGAGTCAATAGCTAAAGACCTCCAAACTTGGTGTGGCCTTCAGATGAGCCCAACAACAGTGCGTAGAGAGCTTCATGGAATGGGTTTCCATGGCCGAGCAGCTGCATCCAAGCCTTCCATCACCAAGTGCAATGCAAAGTGTCGGATGCCGTGGTGTAAAGGTGTACATCAGGATTACCCCATGGGATATATAGTTTATGATTATTGGTAATCAGCGGGTGCCAGTGGGTAATTACCAGATGGAACCCAGTGATTGACAACTGTGGCTGTGAAGGGCGGCACTGGTAGGGCGAGTACCCCCTACCTGGAAATGCAAAATCACATACATATATATATGTGATTTTGCACACAGGTGCTGCCCTGTAGCAGTATATCTGCTATAGGGTGGTCCTTAACCCCCAGATGCTGAGCGCACTCAAATATGCGGCCTCTCGGCGTCTGGGCTGAGCGGCGGGATATTTACGTGCCATTAGAAAATACATATGTGCTGAGAGCGCGCGCCTTGCACGCTCTCAGCACATAACTCCGTGACTCACGGAAAGGTCCCGATCTCCCCTTGCGATAGAGACCTTTTCCAATCATGCGACTGCAGTGACGGCGAATCACATGACCCTAAAACCCCGCCCACATCCCGGATTCTGGAACTCTTAAAGGGCTGGGAGGTGCAAAGGGGTTAAGCGGTTAATAACACATTTTATTGTTTAGTCCGAAATAAAGTATCGCAAAAAAAGAAAAAAAAAACCACAACATATATAACGGGACACAAAGTCTCACTTGCTGAGAAGAATTATTAATTGTGAACGATTCTCCCGCACTCACCAGGGACTCGAAGGTGTCTGGTTTTTCCTCGATCTTGCCGGCCCGCTTCATGCGGTTTAGACGCTTTTTCTCTACTATTCCTGTACGGTCGAGGAAAGTGTCGTCGTCGCTGTCGTAGAAGTCCTCGTCTTCCCACTTCTTGGCTTTTCTTTTCCGTGAAACTACAAATACAAAAAAAGACAGTTAGAGCCGAACGTTTGCATTCTGGGATCAGGGCTTTGATCAAGCAACAAAATAAAAAAAAAAAGAAAAGCTAGTTATATCCATAATAACCCCAAAATATATTAATGTCGCCGGGTATTACGGACAGAACGAGTGTTTATTTATATTTAAAAAAAATATTTTTTTTATAAATATATTTTGAAATGGAATACCGGGGTTATGGCTGCAGCTGGACGCCAAAATCCTGGTATTAAAAATTTGCAGCGGCTGGCCATAGAGGTCAACAGCAGAAAGACGGCCTCAGCTCATTTCTATGACCTAGGTCAGCAATGGGCAAACTACGGCCCGGCGGACCTTTTAATCCGGCCCGCGGAGCTAGGCTCCCGCTAGGCTCCTCTCACAGTCCGCCCTGAAGACCGGTGTAGCGTGAAAATCTGTCTCCTATGAGGATCTGTCCCCCTCGACGTATCTGCGCATGTGCCGGAGATCGCCGATCGGCTGCTAATGCCTGAAACTGGCACATGCGCAGATACGTCGAGGGGGACAGATCCTCATAGGAGACAGATTTTCATGCTACACCGGAACGGCGCGGGAACACGGCGAGAGGAACGCGCGGAGCAAAGGTAAGTGAATTGACACAGGGGGGACTTAATATGGGGGATGAATTACTATAGGGGGGGTGAATTACTATGGGGGATGAATTACTATATGGGGGATGAATTACTATATGGGGGGTGAATTACTATATGGGGGATGAATTACTATATGGGGGATGAATTACTATATGGGGGATGAATTACTATATGGGGGATGAATTACTATGGGGGGATGAATTACTATATGGGGGATGAATTACTATATGGGGGATGAATTACTATATGGGGGATGAATTACTATATGGGGGATGAATTACTATATGGGGGATGAATTACTATATGGGGGATGAATTACTATATGGGGGATGAATTACTATATGGGGATGAATTACTATGGGGGGATGAATTACTATGGGGGATGAAATACTATATGGGGGATGAATTACTATGGGGGATGAATTACTATGCTTACTATGGGGGAATATTACTATACTTACTATGGATGACACATACACATCATTCATCTACTCTTGGTCCGGCCCCCGGGTCCAATATATGAACCCATTGCGGCCCTCAAGTCAAAAAGTTTGCCCACCCCTGACCTAGGTGGTGGCTGAGACGTCATGACGTCGCTTGCAGTTCAAGGCTGGCAGACAAGGCCATTATTATTATTTTTTTTTTTGGATCTGATGCTTTCCATTGTAGAGGAGAGATGTAGGATCTTCCCAGATCTCTCCATAGAGAGGACCCGTCATACTTGGTTTTCACAAGCAAATGTTTACATTTCTCGTGATAACAATAAAAGTGATAAAAAAAGAAAAAAAAAAAAAAAAAAGGAATCACAATCAGGGGAAAGACTGCTGACCTGACACCATCACTGACACCCTCCATAAAGAGGGAAAGCCTCAAAAGGGAATTGCAGAAGAAGTTGGATGTTCCCAAAGTGCTGTATCAAAGCACATTAATAGAAAGTTATGTGGAAGGGAAAAGTGTGGAAGAGAAAGCTGCAAAAAAAAAAAAAAAAAAAAAAAAAAAAGGCAGTGTTTACATGAGGCTGGAATCGGTAGTGACATCATGGCATCATTCCAGTCCTCCTAAGCCAAAGATGAGTGAAGGCCAACTTTCCTCCATCTCTGTGACAAGCAGCTGTAATCGCTGCATCGGTTCATGGGGCTGCCGATCATCCAGGTAAGCCTAAGAACCACCGGGAAGAGGTGGGGTGGGGCATGGCGGAGCTACTCCTCCCGCCACACCTAAAAGTGATCCAGCGGATCCGCCGCTTGGACAACTTTATCAGTTAGAGAACTGCAGGCTGTAAAAAAAAAAAAAAAACCAAAACCAACCCTGAGGTTATGGCATATTGCTGCAGCCATGACCCCGGTACTGCACTTCCCGCCAAGGACGTCCTGTCTTTGGCCCGGTCAGGAAATGGTTAAACATGGGCTTAGGCCTCATCAGTATTGGCACTTACCAGCCTCCTGGCGGAGTAAGCCTCTCATTTCCAGCATGCGGCACGCCTCCAGAGCGCAGAGATTGGCTGCCTCCTTCTTCTTACCAGAATGGCTGACTTCTGCTACCAGTTGCTTCCCATTGGAATCATCAGCCGGTAACCTAATGATGAACACAAATGGATCATGAGATTCGACCAACAGACCTTCAGGATTGGTCAGAGGCTTGGTGAGGTCACTTTTCCTGTCCTGTAATCTCCCCAACACAAACCCCGGGGCAAAAAGGGGAGGCTCTGCCGAGCCCCGGGGGCAAAAAGGGGAGGCTCTGCCGCGCCCCGGGGGCAAAAAGGGGAGGCTCTGCCGCGCCCCGGGGGGCAAAAAGGGGAGGCTCTGCCGAGCCCCGGGGGGCAAAAAGGGGAGGCTCTGCCGAGCCCCGGGGGGCAAAAAGGGGAGGCTCTGCCGAGCCCCGGGGGGGCAAAAAGGGGAGGCTCTGCCGAGCCCCGGGGGGGCAAAAAGGGGAGGCTCTGCCGAGCCCCGGGGGGGCAAAAAGGGGAGGCTCTGCCGAGCCCCGGGGGGGCAAAAAGGGGAGGCTCTGCCGAGCCCCGGGGGGCAAAAAGGGGAGGCTCTGCCGAGCCCCGGGGGGGCAAAAAGGGGAGGCTCTGCCGAGCCCCGGGGGGGCAAAAAGGGGAGGCTCTGCCGAGCCCCGGGGGGGCAAAAAGGGGAGGCTCTGCCGAGCCCCGGGGGCAGAAGGGGAGGCTCTGCCGAGCCCCGGGGGCAGAACGGGAGGCTCTGCCGAGCCCCGGGGGGCAAAAGGGGAGGCTCTGCCGAGCCCCGGCAACAAAATACCCCCTTATGCCAGCAACAATAATTCACCCAAGATACAACCCCCCAGCAACAATAGACTCCCACAGCAAGAATAGGTTCCATACAAAACACCCCTAGACCCACAACAGATCCACCCAAGCGACAATAGACCCCGCCAGCAGCCAGCATCAAAAAACCCTCTAGAAACAATAAAAGAAAAAAAACCCAAAAAAAAACCAACAACAACCCGTCCCCCCCCCCTTCCAATAAATGGATCACTCCAGCAAAATAAGATCCCCTCCCCAATGAAAAATTCCCCCCAGCAGTGAAAACAGATCCCAGTAACCAGCATCGATAGACCCTCCAGCACACCCCAGCAATCCTTCCCATTGCATACATTCAGTGCTGGGGGTGCCGGAACCGCGTTCCCCCTGAAAAAAAAAATCCGTGGATCTTAGTCTGTTGCTTGACAGTTGTGTCCACGCCACAGACCTCGGGATACCACGGCAATCATGTGCTGTGCATGACAACATGGACACTACGGTCAAGGAACGACTTGCATCTGCTGGAAAAGACCAAATTGTCAAGAGATCCTTCAAACAGGAAAAGGAAAATGAAATACAATAAAAAAAATGTAAAAGGCAAACTCTGCCGATACAGTGAAATCTACTACAGCCCGTGTACAGACGTACTTTATTCGGCAGAGCCAGGACCCCGGCCCCTCTCTTCGTATTCAAATTCCAGTTCTTCCCCTGAAACAAAAAAGCCAAAAACATTTACATTCCATTCACTCTCGGTATTTACCGTGATCCCCTTCCAACCGCTTGCCGGTCACTTGTGAACAATGAATGGCTTGGATTCATGCCACTCGCTGTGTAGCTAGCTGTGATCGGTCACAGTGATCACATGGTACAGACCGGGTCAATCACAGCCCAACTGTACCATGTGATTGGTTGGGGGGCCAATCAAAGCTAATGACAACAAAAAATATCTAATGAATCATTCCGTAAAAATGCTTTCTGGTATAAGCAATCGTAATAAAAAAAAAATCTTCATCACTTTCCCAGAGTAGTGAACTGTTACTATGGTAACAATGTATCACTCCGGTCACAGGGCGCTAAGAAATATAAATGGTAAAACAAAAGAAAAAAACTATAATATAACAAAATGAATTATTTTTTTCCCCGTATTGCCAGTCAGTGTCCCTGATCACCTCCACACCAGTTACAGCGCCTTGGAAAAGTCCCCCTCCCCCTGAAATGTCCCCCCATGTTGTCATTTTACAATGTATCCCCCCCCCCTGAAATGTCCCCCATGTTGTCATGTTACAATGTATCCCCCCCCCTGAAATGTCCCCCATGTTGTCACGTTACAATGTATTCCCCCCCCCCTGAAATCTCCCCCATGTTGTCATGTTACAATGTATTCCCCCCCCCCCCCCCGAAATCTCCCCCATGTTGTCATGTTACAATGTATTCCCCCCCCCCCCCCCCCGAAATCTCTCCCCATGTTGTCATGTTACAATGTATTCCCTTCCCCCCCTGAAATGTCCCCCATGTTGTCATGTTACAATGTATTCCCCCCCCCCTGAAATGTCCCCCATGTTGTCATGTTACAATGTATTCCCCTCCCCCCTGAAATGTCCCCCATGTTGTCATGTTACAATGTATTCCCCTCCCCCCTGGAATGTCCCCCATGTTGTCATGTTACAATGTATTCCCCTCCCCCCTGAAATGTCCCCATGTTGTCATGTTTACAATGTATTCCCCTCCCCCCCCGAAATGTCCCCCATGTTGTCATGTTACAAAGTATTCCCCCTCCCCCCTGAAACGTCCCCCATGTTGTCATGTTACAATGTATTCCCCTCCCCCCCTGAAACGTCCCCATGTTGTCATGTTACAATGTATTCCCCCTCCCCCCTGAAACGTCCCCCATGTTTTCATGTTACAATGTATTCCCCCTCCCCCCTGAAATGTCCCCCATGTTGTCATGTTACAATGTATCCCCCCCTCCCCCCTGAAATGTCCCCCATGTTGTCATGTTACAATGTATCCCCCTCCCCCCTGAAATGTCCCCCATGTTGTCATGTTACAATGTATTCCTCCTCCCTTTGAAATGTCCCCCATGTTGTCATGTTACACATGCATTCCCCCCCCCAAAATGCCCCCCATGTTGTCATGTTACAATGTATTCCCCCCCCCCCCCAAAATGCCCCCCATGTTGTCATGTTACAATGTATCTCCCCCCCCAAAAAGGTCAAGAGGGTAACCCCCCCCCCCCCAATGTCAGGACGGTACAAACCCCCCCCCCCACCAAATGTCAGGACGGTACAAACCCCCCCCCTCCCCCCCAAATGTCAAGACGGTACAAATCCCCCCCCCCTGTTGTTTTGTACATACCTTCTCGGTCATAGAAGCCTTGCAGGGCTTTCTTGGGATTCTTAAGGTACAAAGCTTCCCGCTCTTCCTGAAACTCCAAAGCAATCGGGTTCTCCTCGCTCTCCTCCTCCATGGCGTCCTCCCCTACAACACACAGGAGGATGAGTGACAGAACCAGGGACTGTGGGAAGGAGTGCCATCCCCACACAGGGTGCTGTGCACTGCAGGTCATTACAAAAAGCCAACCAACACACATCGGGGGGTCAGTGGGAAAATGTCCCTTACATTGGGGGTCAGTGGAAAGAATGCCCCTTACATTGGTGGTCAGTGGGAAGAACGTCCCTTACATTGGGGGTCAGTGGGAAGAACGTCCCTTACATTGGGGGTCAGTGGGAAGAACGCCCCTTACATTGGGGGTCAGTGGGAAGAACGCCCCTTACATTGGGGGTCAGTGGGAAGAACGCCCCTTACATTGGGGGTCAGTGGGAAAGAATGCCCCTTACATTGGGGGTCAGTGGGAAGAACGCCCTTACATTGGGGGTCAGTGGGAAGAACGTCCCTTACATTGGGGGTCAGTGGGAAGAACGTCCCTTACATTGGGGGTCAGTGGGAAAGAACGTCCCTTACATTGGGGGTCAGTGGGAAGAACGTCCCTTACATTGGGGGTCAGTGGGAAGAACGTCCCTTACATTGGGGGTCAGTGGGAAGAACGTCCCTTACATTGGGGGTCAGTGGGAAGAACGTCCCTTACATTGGGGGTCAGTGGGAAGAACGTCCCTTACATTGGGGGTCAGTGGGAAGAATGTCCCTTACATTGGGGGTCAGTGGGAAGAAACGTCCCTTACATTGGGGGTCAGTGGGAAGAATGTCCCTTACATTGGGGGTCAGTGGGAAGAATGTCCCTTACATTGGGGGTCAGTGGGAAGAATGTCCCTTACATTGGGGGTCAGTGGGAAGAATGTCCCTTACATTGGGGGTCAGTGGGAAGAATGTCCCTTACATTGGGGGTCAGTGGGAAGAACGTCCCTTACATTGGGGGTCAGTGGGAAGAACGTCCCTTACATTGGGGGTCAGTGGGAAGAACGTCCCTTACATTGGGGGTCAGTGGGAAGAACGTCCCTTACACATTGGGGGTCAGTGGGAAGAACGTCCCTTACATTGGGGGTCAGTGGGAAGAACGTCCCTTACATTGGGGGTCAGTGGGAAGAACGTCCCTTACATTGGGGGTCAGTGGGAAGAACGTCCCTTACATTGGGGGTCAGTGGGAAGAACGTCCCTTACATTGGGGGTCAGTGGGAAGAACGTCCCTTACATTGGGGGTCAGTGGGAAGAACGTCCCTTACATTGGGGGTCAGTGGGAAGAAAACGTCCCTTACATTGGGGGTCAGTGGGGAAGAACGTCCCTTACATTGGGGGTCAGTGGGAAGAACGTCCCTTACATTGGGGGTCAGTGGGAAGAACGTCCCTTACATTGGGGGTCAGTGGGAAGAACGTCCCTTACATTGGGGGTCAGTGGGAAGAACGTCCCTTACATTGGGGTCAGTCAGTGGGAAGAACGTCCCTTACATTGGGGGTCAGTGGGAAGAACGTCCCTTACATTGGGGGTCAGTGGGAAGAATGTCCCTTACATTGGGGGTCAGTGGGAAGAACGTCCCTTACATTGGGGGTCAGTGGGAAGAACGTCCCTTACATTGGGGGTCAGTGGGAAGAACGTCCCTTACATTGGGGGTCAGTGGGAAGAACGTCCCTTACATTGGGGGTCAGTGGGAAGAACGTCCCTTACATTGGGGGTCAGTGGGAAGAACGTCCCTTACATTGGGGGTCAGTGGGAAGAATGTCCCTTACATTGGGGGTCAGTGGGAAGAACGTCCCTTACATTGGGGGGTCAGTGGGAAGAATGTCCCTTACATTGGGGGGGTCAGTGGGAAGAATGTCCCTTACATTGGGGGTCAGTGGGAAGAATGTCCCTTACATTGGGGGGGTCAGTGGGAAGAATGTCCCTTACATTGGGGGTCAGTGGGAAGAATGTCCCTTACATTGGTGGTCAGTGGGAAGAATGTCCCTTACATTGGGGGTCAGTGGGAAGAATGTCCCTTACATTGGGGGTCAGTGGGAAGAATGTCCCCTTACATTGGGGGTCAGTGGGAAGAATGTCCCTTACATTGGGGGTCAGTGGGAAGAATGTCCCTTACATTGGGGGTCAGTGGGAAGAATGTCCCTTACATTGGGGGTCAGTGGGAAGAATGTCCCTTACATTGGGGGTCAGTGGGAAGAATGTCCCTTACATTGGGGGTCAGTGGGAAAGAATGTCCCTTACATTGGGGTCAGTGGGAAGAATGTCCCTTACATTGGGGGTCAGTGGGAAGAATGTCCCCTTACATTGGGGGGTCAGTGGGAAGAATGTCCCTTACATTGGTGGTCAAAGAATGTCCCTTACATTGGGGGTCAGTGGGAAGAAATGTCCCTTACATTGGGGGTCAGTGGGAAGAATGTCCCTTACATTGGTGGTCAGTGGAAGAATGTCCCTTACATTGGGGGGTCAGTGGGAAGAATGTCTCTTACATTGGGGGTCAGTGGGAAGAATGTCCCTTACATTGGGGAGTCAGTGGGAAGAATGTCCCTTACATTTGGGGGGTCAGTGGGAAGAATGTCCCTTACATTGGGGGTCAGTGGGAAGAATGTCCCTTACATTGGGGGTCAGTGGGGCTCAAGAATGTCCCTTACATTTGGGGGTCAGTGGGGAAGAATGTCCCTTACATTGGGGGTCAGTGGGAAGAATGTCCCTTACATTGGGGTCAGTGGGGAAGAATGTCCCTTACATTGGGGGTCAGTGGGAAGAATGTCCCTTACATTGGGGGTCAGTGGTGACTTATCTGAGAGTCGGAGATGCTTTTAATTCTCAGGGAACCCCAGTAACCTCTGGAAGGACCCTAGTGAGTTTCTGATCAATCACTTACCCATCCCCCACATACAGCCAGCCTCGTCCCCAGTGCCGGTCCGCTCTCTCTTGCCTTCCTCAGAGGGTTCGTCCTCGTCATCAGAGTCATCTCCCAGCATCCTCCTCTGCAGAGTCTCTCTCTGCCGGCGTGTTTCTTTTATCTGTGTCACCGTCAGCTCAGACTCCGCCTCCTGGTCCTCTTCTGGGCCCTATAGGAATAGACAGTATAAGAGGGAATGCAGAGAGGGGAGGTCCTCGCAGAAGGTGACCTTACATGTTACATAATGGGAATCTACACAACCCGTCATGGTACGGAGGAGGCGCCTTCACCGGAAGAGAACCAGTGCAGGCAGGACGGGCAGAGAAGGCGAGGCGGGCAGAGAAAGCAGTGCGGGCAGAGAAGGCGCGGCGGGCAGAGAAGGCAGTGCAGGCAGAGAAGGCAGTGCAGGCAGAGAAGGCGCGGCGGGCAGAGAAGGCACGGCGGGCAGAGAAGGTAGTGCAGGCAGAGAAAGGCGCGGCGGGCAGAGAAGGCAGTGCGGGCAGAGAAGGAGCGGCGGGCAGAGAAGGTGCGGCGGGCAGAGAAGGCAGTGCAGGTAGAGAAGGCGCGGCGGGCAGAGAAGGCACGGCGGGAAGAGAAGGTAGTGCAGGCAGAGAAGGCACGGCGGGGGCAGAGAAGGAGCGGCGGGCAGAGAAGGCAGTGCAGGTAGAGAAGGCGCCCCGGCGGGCAGAAGGTAGTGCAGGCAGAGAAGGCACGGCGGGCAGAGAAGGTAGTGCAGGCAGAGAAGGCGCGGCGGGCAGAGAAGGCGGCGGCGGCAGGCAGAGAAGGTACGGCGGGCAGAGAAGGTAGTGCAGGCAGAGAGGTAGTGCAGGCAGAGAAGGTAGTGCAGGCAGAGAAGGTAGTGCAGGCAGAGAAGGCGCGGCGGGCAGAGAAGGTAGTGCAGGTAGAGAAGGAGGGCGGGCAGAGAAGGCACGGCAGGCAGAGAAGGCGCAGCGGGCAGAGAAGGTAGTGCAGGCAGAGAAGACGCGGCGGGCAGAGAAGGCACGGCGGGCAGAGAAGGTAGTGCAGGCAGAGAAGGTAGTGCAGGCAGAGAAGGTAGTGCAGGCAGAGAAGGCACGGCGGGCAGAGAAGGTAGTGCAGGCAGAGAAGGCACGGCGGGCAGAGCGCAGGAATCCCGTCTTTCCAAAGCTTACCTGCAGAGTTTTTACTTTCTATTTTTTCCCCTTCGATGTCCCCCTGAATGTGCTACAAAAATACTCGATTCCCCGGCACAGTCCCCACACTCTGCATTGGATAGCCCTCCCCTCTTCTGGGAGTGTCTAACTATTGTCTGTGCTGTCCCAGCTGTCCTTTACAACGCCCCCTACAAAACATACAGCGGCCTGTCAGCATTTTTGGGTGCCGGTCTGTGTGAACGAGCCCTAGGTGATCCACCCACAAGGACAGCACGGTCAGGAAGTTACATCGGTCGCTGTCCTTGGTGCTGAATCTCTTCTCAGAATTTGTTTTCAGCTTTGGCTCCAGTTATGTGAGTGTGAACAGAAAGGGGGAGGGGCTGCAGGCATGATACAAGAGACAGTCACAGCCGTACTACAGGAGACGGTCAGAGACTGCAGACATAGTACAGGAGAGGGTCAGAGACTGCAGACATAGTACAGGAGACGGTCAGAGACTGCAGACGTACTACAGGAGACGGTCAGAGACTGGACATACTACAGGAGACGGTCAGAGACTGCAGACGTACTACAGGTGCAGACGTACTACGGTCAGAGACTGCAGACGTACTACAGGAGACGGTCAGAGACTGCAGACGTACTACAGGAGACGGTCAGAGACTGCAGACGCACTACAGGAGACGGTCAGAGACTGCAGAGACGCACTACAGGAGACGGTCAGAGACTGCAGACGCACACTACAGGAGACGGTCAGAGACTGCAGACAAAGTACAGGAGACGGTCAGAGACTGCAGACAAACGTACTACAGGAGACGGTCAGAGACTGCAGACGTACTACAGGAGACGGTCAGAGACTGCAGACATGGTACTACAGGAGACGGTCAGAGACTGCAGACAAAGTACAGGAGACGGTCAGAGACTGCAGACAAAGTACAGGAGACGGTCAGAGACTGCAGACAAAGTACAGGAGACGGTCAGAGACTGCAGATATACTACAGAAGACGGTCAGAGACTGCAGACATGGTACTACAGGAGACGGTCAGAGACTGCAGACATGGTACTACAGGAGACGGTCAGAGACTGCAGACATACTACAGGAGACGGTCAGAGACTGCAGACATACTACAGGAGACGGTCAGAGACTGCAGACATGGTACTACAGGAGACGGTCAGAGACTGCAGACATGGTACTACAGGAGACGGTCAGAGACTGCAGACATGGTACTACAGGAGACGGTCAGAGACTGCTGCAGACATGGTTACTACAGGAGACGGTCAGAGACTGCAGACATACTACTACAGGAGACGGTCAGAGACTGCGGACATAGTACAGGAGATGGTCAGAGACTGCGGACACAGTACAGGAGATGACCAGAGACTGCGGACACAGTACAGGGATGACAGAGACTGCGGACAGGAGTACAGGAGATGACCAGAGACTGCGGACATCAGTACAGGAGATGACCAGAGACTGCAGTACAGGAGATGACCAGAGACTGCAGGACTCAGTACAGGAGATGACCAGAGACTGCAGACACAGTACAGGAGATGACCAGAGACTGCAGACACAGTACAGGAGATGACCAGAGACTGCGGACACAGTACAGGAGACGGTCAGAGACTGCAGACATAGTACAGGAGATGACCAGGAGACTCAGCAGGAGATGACCAGAGACTGCACATAGTACAGGAGACGGTCAGAGACTGCAGACACAGTACAGGAGACGGTCAGAGATTGCGGACACAGTACAGGAGACGGACTCAGAGATTGCGGACACAGTACAGGAGATGGTCAGAGACTGCAGACATGGTACTACAGGAGACGGTCAGAGACTGCAGACATGGTACTACAGGAGACGGTCAGAGACTGCGGACACAGTACAGGAGACGGTCAGAGAGTGCAGACACAGTACAGGAGATGGTCAGAGACTGCAGACATACTACAGGAGACGGTCAGAGACTGCAGACATGCTATAGGAGTCGTTGGGAGTCAGGAGACGGTCACAGACTGAAGGAATAGTACATGAGACTGCTAGAAATCACGGCTTAAAGCGGTTTTAAAGGCTCATATTTTTTACCTTTAAACAACAAACATGGTCTGCCTGCATTACATAGAGAAGCACAGAGACCCACTAATGTCATCACTGGGTCTAGTACAAGGGCAAGGAATGAAAACAAAGAATTTATTGTAACATTTCATTATGATGATGGGGGGGGGGGCATATTTCATCACTAACACATCAGACGTTCCCTCCATTGGAGAGATTTCACAACAGGAAGTGAGGGGGGATGGGAGTCCTGCGCAGGGGTATGGTGAACATTGAAACATTTTGGATTTCTCCTGATTTGTTTTGTGAAGTCACAGAGGCAGGAAGTGAGGAGGAGGGGAGGGGGGGGGGGGTCATATTTCATCAATAACACATCCAATGTTTCCCTCCATTGGAGAGATTTCACCACAACAGGAAGTGAGGGGGGATGGGAGTCCTGCGCAGGGGTATGGGTGAACATTGAAACATTTGGATTTCTCCTGATTTGTTTTGTGAAGTCACAGAGGCAGGAAGTGAGGAGGGGGGGGGGGGGGGTCATATATTTCATCAATAACACATCCAATGTTCCCTCCATTGGAGAGATTTCACCACAACAGGAAGTGAGGGGGGATGGGAGTCCTGCGCAGGGGTACTGGTGAACATTGACACACTTTTGGATTTCTCCTGATTTGTTTTGTGAAGTCACAGAGACAGGAAGTCCCCTGAGGAGACGAGGGGGGGGGGGGGTCATATTTTCAGGAAACACATCCAATGCTTCCCTCCATTGCTCAAACCCTAAAGCCCTCCTACACCACCCACAACAGGTTGGGCTCTGACTGCCTCCAGTATACACCGGGTAGGTACCTGCAGTATAAAGAGTCGGGTGCTCCCCCCCAAACCTCAGGACGTGCCCCACCCGGACGCGGTGGCGGTGTAGGTTTTGGGCGGGATCCTCTGCTTGTTGACGAAGGTTCCATGCGTGCTCCCCAGGTCGTAGATGTAGAAGCCGCGCTCCTGGTTGGGCTCGGAGCCGGGGGAGGGGCGGTACTGCAGCGCGGCGTGGAAGCGCGACACGGAGGGGTGCTCCAGAGGGACGTGGCAGGCGGGGAGTCGGCCGAAGACTGTCCAGCTGGTGTTGGCCAGGTTCCTGGTGGAGAGGATGGCGCCCCCCTTCAGCACCTCCAAGCTGTAAAGGGCCTGGGGCGGCCCCGACCAGGGAGGCTCCCGATAGGGAATGGCAGGGGCCGATCTGTAGGCATCAGAGGGAAGCCCGGGGCCGACATCCGGGGCCTCTTCCCCATCTGGGCCGGGGACAGGAGGCCGCACGGGGGCTGCTGGTTTATCTCCGGGTTCCACGGTCTTTTCATGGCCGCCGGGCCGCCCAGGAGCGACGGGCTTCTTAAAGGAGCTGCCATGTGGGCTGGGCCCCTGGGCAGGCTCTGAAGGCCATTCTTCGGGGCCCCCATCGCCAGCCGGTTCCTCGGTGGCATTGGCATAACCGGGGTCCGAGGCGGGACCTGTCCCCAGGAGCATGGGGCCCCTCATCGGCATGGCCCTTCCTGCGGGCCCCGGGAGCATGGGGCCCCTTAGCGCCACGGGTCCCGGCATTCCGTTGCTCTGTGGTAATGTCCCCTGAAACATCGGGCCCCTCATCGGTCCCGCAAACCTCATGTTCCTGGTCGCTGCGGGGCCTGGTATTGCCGGGGGCCTGACCGATCCTGGGGTTAGAATCCCCGGGCCCCTCAGCGGAGCACCTGGCATCCCGGGGCCTCTTAGGGACATGGACAGTCCTGGTATCCCGGGGCCCCTCAGTGGCTTGGGTGATCCTAGTATCCCAGGGCCCCTCAATGGCTTGGGTGATCCTAGTATTCCGGGGCCCCTCAGTGGCTTGGGTGGTCCTGGTATCCCGGGGCCCCTCAGGGGCATGGTCGGTCCTGGAATCCCGGGGCCCCTCAGGTGCATGGTCGGTCCTGGAATCCCGGGGGGCCCCTCAGGTGCATGGCCGGTCCTGGAATCCCGGGGCCCCTCAGGGGCATGGATGATCCTGGTATCCCGGGGCCCCTCAGTCCGCCCGGCCCCCTCACTGGCATGCCCGGGGGTCTCATAGCTCCTGGAGGCATTATCCCTGGGCCCCTCAGGACTCCGGGCCCCGGAATCACAGGTGCTCTCAAACCCCCCGGAATCATAGGGCCCCTGCCTGGCCCCGGGATCCTGGGGCCCCTCATGGCCATCATCGGGGATCTCAGGGGCCCGGGAGGCACCGCCCCCATCCTCCAGGGCCCCGGGGGGGCCCGTTCCCCGCCATGGGGTTCATGCCGAGTGGTCTCCATGTATCCAGCGCCACTTTCACAGCTCTGCCGGCAGCTCACCAACAAGACGAGTACAGACCGGAAACGCCGGGGCACACTTCCGGTCACATGTCCTGGGGGTGACGGCGCGGGATGACGACGTCGGTAGTGGCGCGCCGGAAGTGAGAGGAGGAAACTGGAAGTGTGAAGAAGAAAGCGGAAGTGAGGAGCAGGCCCCAAGGAGGAGGTGGGGGAGCCGGGAAAAGACTGCAAACCACTTCATTAAAGGGGGAGGGGTACATTGCCGACCTTGCCATGCAGGAAGCATGCAGCCAGTGAAGACAGAGCCCCAGATTTGAATCTTTCATTCGGGTAAGAAAATCAGAACAGGCTGGGGATCAGCATGACAGCCAGCAGATCGGCATTTTCAGCACAGAGGCCGCCGGCGTGTTTACAGGCCGAAAAAGTGAGAAGTTTCATTTGTGGTGGAGCGATGACGCCACCCACTGCGATTATCTGAGGAGCCGCCGTTGATTCAGGACCGTCATCCTCATCCCTTTACTTCCAGGTGTTTAGGATGGGAGGAACCTTCACTGGCCGCATGATTGAGGGATCAAGGTGGTGGCCTCAGCGTTGGGTCTGGAGGGGGGGAAGCCGGTCCACCTGCGCAAGACTGGAGGGGGGGGAGGAGCCGATCCACCTGCTTAAGACTGGAGGGGGGGGGAAGCCGATCCACCTGCGCAAGACTGGAGGGGGGGGGGGGGGAGGAGCCGATACACCTGCTCAAAGACTGGAGGGGAGGAGCCGGTACACCTGCCAAGACTGGAGGGGAGGAGCCGGTACACCTGGACTGGAGGGGAGGAGTACACCTGCCAAGACCGGTACACACCTGCCAAGACTGGAGGGGAGGAGCCGGTACACCTGCCAAGACTGGAGGGGAGGAGCCGGTACAGACTGGAGGGGAGGAGCCGGTACACCTGCCAAGACTGGAGGGGAGGAGCCGGTACACCTGCCAAGACTGGAGGGGAGGAGCCGGTACACCTGCCAAGACTGGAGGGGAGGAGCCGGTACACCTGCCAAGACTGGAGGGGAGGAGCCCTGCCGTGGCAGGGGAGGACCGGTACACCTGCCAAGACTGGAGCCAAGAACTGGAGGGGAGGAAGGCCGGTACACCTGCCAAGGGAGGGGAGGAGCCGGTACACCTGCCAAGACAAGACTGGAGGGGAGGAGCCGGTACACTTACCCAGGACTGGAGGGGAGGAGCCGGTACACTTACCCAGGACTGGAGGGGGGGAGCCGGAGGGAGGATTGAAAGTCCCTGTTTTCATGCAGAGGCTCGCAGTGTGCGCTCATTGCCGCTATGTGTGTACTGACAGCTCCATTCTGTCTCCATTACAGGTCGGTCGCAGTGACGGAGGGATGTGAGGTGTCCGGATACAGAGGACAGTCCGCCTGCGGTCATACGACTACTATGTAGTATTGGGACCTCGCCGTCCTCTTTGCCCGCGGTCCCCATCTCATCGTCTTCATACAGAACCGGGACTTGGCGGTAAAATGATGCGATATTGGGGGGAGATCCCGGTGGCCTCGGGTCAGGCCAGCAGAAGCTCCTTCGACCTCTTACAGAGGGAATTTCGCACGGTGGAGATGCAGGAGCCGCCATTACACCAGCCGTCCGCCAACAGGCCGAGACCGACCACCATGCTTGATATCCCCTCGGAGCCGTGCAGCCTCACCATCCACACCATCCAGCTGATCCAACACAACCGCAAACTGCGCAGCCTGATCGCCTCCACTCAGGGGCAGAACCTGCAGCCGGTGGAAGGCATCAAAGTGGAGGAGAGCGAAGCCCTTCCGCACCGACCGCCTTCTCCGCCCCTTCCTGACGATCTGCTGCCGCAGGACTGCAAACTACCCAAGCTGCCGTTCCAGCTGAGGCACAGCGATCCCGAGAGTGACTTCTACCGGTAAGACCAAAGCTGAAGTGCAGTGTATGTATAGAACGCCTTCCCTAGTACTCCCCCCCCCCCCCCCCCCCCCCCCCCCCATCCCCCCCTCCCTCATCCATCCCCCCCCCCCTCATCCATCAAAACATTTTCCATCAAATTATTTTGTTTTTTAGGAAATATCTCTGACACTTTGTGATGTCATCACTGGGTCTCCCACTGAGTTTGGTTGGAGGTGCATGCCAGGCTCCTGTAAACTGTACCCTGGCTTGAATCTTCCTTTGAGAGTGTTGTATGAAAGAACACATTCCCAGGATCCCTTTAGACATGCATGATTTCCCTGCTGGCCTCTGGGTGCTGCAGACTTTAGCTGTGCGATATGCTGATCAGTTGCATAAAGTGGTTGTAAGGCGTAGGGTTTTTTTTTACCTTCATGCATGTGATGGGAGTGACCTTTGGGGTGGGGAGACCTCTGTCTCAGCTCCCTATATCCCTCTTATGTGTAAGCCACCCTGTGCCTGTTAGGGGTACAGGATGATCTGTCCTGATACCGTGTAGACATGTATAGGTGGGGTGGGGGTTGTCCATTGTTCACTGCCACTTGCTGCACCTCATTGTTCTATTGTGTCTTGCTGGCCAGCAAACTATTATGGGATGTATGTGTTCCTGTATTGTCTACTGCCACGTGGTGTATCCTATTGTTCTATTGTGTGTCTTGGTTTGGTGGGGGTGTTTCCGGCAGCCCTTCCCCCTGATGGGATGGCCTGATGATGTGTTTCCTGTTCCTGGTTGTATTTCCCCACCCTGTGTATATATCTTGTGTTTATGTTACAATAAAGCAGTCCCCTTCCTGTCTATTTCCTGTATGGTCAGCGGTGGTGTCCGTGGATCTGTGTTCAAACAGGGAAGTGGGAGTCTACCGGAAATACTGTAGTTCAGTCGGGGTCCGGTTCCGTTACAATGCATCCTATGCATGAAGGTAATAAACCTTCTGTGTGCAGCAGCCCCTCTTATTCTTGCCTGAGCCCCATCATGATCCAGCGATGTGCACGAGAGCTTCAGCTCCCCCTCCTCATTGGCTGAGATAGTAGCGGGAGCCATTGGCCCATGCCGCTGTCAATCACAGCCAGTTAGCCAATGAGAAGAGAGAGGGGCCAGGGCCAAGCCTCAGCTTTGTGAGCGAATAAACACACAGAACAGTGGCTCAGGAGCAGGCCTGCTTGATTGCTACCAGAACAAGGTGCTGGCTCTGGGGGCACGTGGCAAGAGGGGCCAGGAGCGCCGGTGGGGGGCCCGAGAAGAGCAGGATTGGGCTTCTCTGTGCAAAACCACTGCACAGAGCAGGTAAGTATAACATGTTTGTTATTTTTTTTTTTAAATTGCCTTTAATATCACTAATAGCATGCACGACCGAAGGGATGCCAGGGATGTGTTCTTTCATATAATGCTTGGGACAGGGGCGGACTGACAACTCATGGGGCCCCCAGGCAATAGGGGATCATGGGACCCCTGTGTCCTTGGCAAAACTCAAAAAAGCCTATGAAAAAAGTACCAGGGGCATCTCATGGGGCCCCCTACTGACCCCGGGCCATGCCCGAGTTTCCAAATGGTCAGTCCGCCCCTGGCTTGGGATCACTTTAGATGTGCATGTTCCTCCCTACTGGCCACTGGGAGCTGCAGACGTGAGCTGTGCAATCCTCTGATCAGTTGCTTGAGCGTGCATGTCTAAAGGGATGCAGGGGATATGTTCTTTCACATAATGCTCAGAACAAAGTCAGAGAAAGTTAATAGCTGTTAAAAGTGGGCAACAACCATATGGACCAGGAGGAGAGAAACTTGAGGCACGTTTGGTGACGGGCTGGAAGGCTGCTGTAAATATCACAGCTCCCTGCCTTAGATGTTCTTCCTGCAAGCGTGTTATATTGAAGAACGCAATGGAGGCATCCTTTTAGATGTACATGAGCCTTCTGCCATATTTTGCCTGGAAATGGGCCTCAAATGAATGAGCCGGGGCATTAAAGCAAACCTATGCTTTGCACATATATCTTCACCCCCATTTGCCTTTCATTCACTTCTTGACCTCTCCAGGGCCAGGAGCCACAGAAAACTCCCTGACATCCTTTTAGATGCACAGCCAGATGGGGATGGTGACACACTTACAATCAAGAGAACGGCAGATATATGCCAACTGTGTTTTTAAAACTAGATGAAATGCTTTAGCTGTGCAATCTGCTGATCAGTTGCTTGAGCATGCGTGTCTAAAGGGATGCTGGGGATGTGTTTGCTTGGGAAGAAATTAATGATTAAAGTCATTCAGCCATGAAATAAAGGCACGTTTTGTGAAAGGGGCTGCCAGTCTTTTGTAAATGTCACAGCACCCTGCCTTTGACCTTTTTCCTATGAAAAAACACATCCCTGACATCCTTTTAGATACGCACTTTTAAAGATCTTTGAAACCAGCCGGATGGGGACACAGTTAAAATCAAGAGAACAGCAGATATATGCCAATTGTGTTTTTAAAACTAGTTGCAATGCTTTAGCTGTGCAATCTGCTGATCAGTTGCTTGAGCATGCATGTCTAAAGGGATGCTGGGGATGTGTTTTGCTCAGGAAGAAAGTTAATGATTAAAGTAATTTAGCCATGAAATAAAGGCCTGTTTTGTGAAAGGGCCTGCCAGTCTTTTGTAAACGTCACAGCACCTTGCCTCTGACCACCTTCCAATGAAAAAACACATCCCTGACATCCTTTTAGATGTGCACTTTAAAGATCTTTGACACCAGATGGGGGATGGTGACACACATGAAGGGAATGGCAGATCTGTAAAGCATAACCACCCCCCCCATTATGTTCTAATACCGTCCTCCTTGTCTCTGATATTCTTGATTAGCGGGAAAGGAGAACCCGTGACGGAGCTCAGCTATCACTCCTGCCGCCAGCTCATGTACCAATCCGTGGCCACCATCCTGGCCCACGCCGGATTTGACACCGCCAATGAGAGCGTCCTGGAGACCCTGACAGACATCGCTCACGAGTACTGCCTGAAATTCACCAAGATGCTGAGGTACAACATGGACCGCGAGGCCAGGCTAGGCCACACCCCTTTCCCGGACGTCATGGAGCAAGTCTTCCACGAGATGGGGATCGGCAGCGTCCTGTCACTGCAGAGATTCTGGCAGCACCGCATTCGGGATTACCACACATACATGTTACAGGTGAGAGCCGTGTTCTGAGGGGGGGGGGGGGCTGTTGGGGAGCGCACTGTTCTGAGGGGGGGGGCTGTTGGGAGCGCTGTTCTGAGGGGGGGGGCTGTTGGGAGCGCTGTTTCTGAGGGGGGGGGGGCTGTTGGGAGCGCTGTTCTGAGGGGGGGGGGGGGCTGTTGGGAGCGCTGTTCTGAGGGGGGGGGGGGCTGTTGGGAGCGCTGTTCTGAGGGGGGGGGGCTGTTGGGAGCGCTGTTCTGAGGGGGGGGCTGTTGTTCTGAGGGGGGGGGGCTGCTCGTCTTGGGAGCGGGGACTGTTCTGAGGGGGGGCTGCTGTTCTGAGGGGGGGGGGGCTGTTGGGAGCGCTGTTCTGAGGGGGGGGGGGGCTGTTGGGAGCGCTGTTCTGAGGGGGGGCCTGCTGTTCTGAGGGGGGGGGGCTGTTGGGAGCGCTGTTCTGAGGGGGGGCTGTTGGGAGCTGGTCTGAGGGGGGGGGGCTGTTGGCAGCGCTGTTCTGAGGGGGGCCTGCTGTTCTGAGGGGGGGGGGGCTGTTGGGAGCGCTGTTCTGATGGGGGGGCTGTTCTGAGGGGGGGGGGGCCTGTTGGGAAGCGCTGTTCTGAGGGGGGGGGTTCTGGGGGGGGCTGTTGGGCGCTGTTCTGAGGGGGGGGGTTTGTCTGTTGGGGCAGCGCTGTTCTGAGGGGGGGGGGGGCCTGTTGGGAGCGCTGTTCTGATGGGGGGCCTGCTGTTCTGAGGGGGGGGGGCTGTTGGGAGCGCTGTTCTGAAGGGGGGGCTGTTCTGAGGGGGGGGGGGGGCTGTTGGGAGCGCTGTTCTGAGGGGGGGCCTGTTGTTCTGTGGGGGGGGGGGGCTGTTGCAAGCGCTGTTCTGAGGGGGGCGCTGTTCTGAGGGGGGGCCTGTGGGAGCGCTGTTCTGAGGGGGGGCCTCTGTTTGGGGGTTCTGGGGGGGGCTGTTGAGGGGGCGGGGCCTGTTGGGTGTTCTGTTCTGGGGGGGGGCCTGTTGGAGCGCTGTTCTGAGGGGGGGGGCCTGTTGGGAGCGCTGTTCTGAGGGGGGGGCTGTTTGGGAGCGCTGTTCTGAGGGGGGGGGGGAGCCTGTTGGGAGCGCTGTTCTGAGGGGGGGCCTGTTGGGAGCGCTGTTCTGAGGGGGGGGGGGCGCTGTTGGGAGCGCTGTTCTGAGGGGGGGGGGGGGGCTGTTGGGAGCGCTGTTCTGAGGGGGGGGGGGCTGTTGGGAGCGCTGTTCTGAGGGGGGGGGGCTGTTGGGAGCGCTGTTCTGAGGGGGGGGCCTGTTGGGAGCGCTGTTCTGAGGGGGGGGGCCCTGTTGGGAGCGCTGTTCTGAGGGGGGGGGGGGCTGTTGGGAGCGCTGTTCTGAGGGGGGGGTTCTGTTGGGAGCGCTGTTCTGAGGGGGGGGGGCCTGTTGGGAGCGCTGTTCTGAGGGGGGGGGGACTGTTGGGGCGCTGTTCTGAGGGGGGGGGGGCCTGTTGGGAGCGCTGTTCTGAGGGGGGGTTGCCTGTTGGGAGCGCTGTTGGGAGCGCTGTTCTGAGGGGGGGGGCCTGTTGGGAGCGCTGTTCTGAGGGGGGGGCTGTTGGGAGCGCTGTTCTGAGGGGGGGGCCTGTTTGGGGGGGGCTGTTAGGGAGCGCTGTTCTGAGGGGGGGGGGCTGTTGGGAGCGCTGTTTCTGAGGGGGGGGGGTTGGGAGCGCTGTTCTGAGGGGGGGGGGGGCCTGTTGGGAGCGCTGTTCTGAGGGGGGGGTTGGGAGCGCTGTTCTGAAGGGGGGGCTGTTCTGAGGGGGGGGGGCTGTTGGGAGCGCTGTTCTGAGGGGGGGGGGCCTGCTTGTTCTGAGGGTGGGGGGCTGTTGGGAGCGCTGTTCTGAGGGGGGGGGGCCTGTTGGGAGCGCTGTTCTGATGGGGGGCCTGTTGGGAGCGCTGTTCTGAGGGGGGGGGGGCTGTTGGGGAGCGCTGTTCTGAAGGGGGGGCTGTTGTTCTGAGGGGGGGCCTGTTGCGAGCGCTGTTCTGAGGGGGGGTTCTGGGGGGGGCTGTTGGGAGCGCTGTTCTGTTCTGAGGGGGGGGGGCTTTGGGAGCGCTGTTCTGAGGGGGGGGGGGTTGGTCTGTGTTGGGAGCGCTGTTCTGAGGGGGGGGGGCCTGTTGGGAGCGCTGTTCTGAGGGGGGGGGCCTGTTGGGAGCGCTGTTCTGAGGGGGGGGGGCTGTTGGGGGCGCTGTTCTGAGGGGGGGGGGGCTGTTGGGAGCGCTGTTCTGAGGGGGGGGGGGCTGTTGGGAGCGCTGTTCTGAGGGGGGGGGGGCTGTTGGGAGCGCTGTTCTGAGGGGGGGGGCTGTTGGGAGCGCTGTTCTGAGGGGGGGGGCTGTTGGGAGCGCTGTTCTGAGGGGGGGGGGTGTTGGGAGCTGTTGGGAGCGCTGTTCTGAGGGGGGGGGCTGTTGGGAGCGCTGTTCTGAGGGGGGGGGCTGTTGGGAGCGCTGTTCTGAGGGGGGGGGGGCTGTTGGGAGCGCTGTTCTGAGGGGGGGGGGCTGTTGGGAGCGCTGTTCTGAGGGGGGGGGGCTGTTGGGAGCGCTGTTCTGAGGGGGGGGGGCTGTTGGGAGCGCTGTTCTGAGGGGGGGGGGCTGTTGGAAGCGCTGTTCTGAGGGGGGGGGGCTGTTGGGAGCGCTGTTCTGAGGGGGGGGGGCCTGTTTTTTTCCGGGCTTTTATTTATTTACAGGCATACCTCGGTTTACGAATTGAATGCGTTCTCCGGGACATTTCGTATTGCGAAAAAAATAGAGCGAAACGCGGTTTCCCAGGAATACATTGACAACCAATTCATCCGTTCCGGAGGTCAGAAAAATATAAAAAGTCGCTGTCTCTAGAGGTCGGTGGCGGGTTTTTAAATGTAATTCCGGCTTTTTTTTTTCTTCACTAAAGCTCAGAGACTCCGCTGTCACTTCCCCCCAGATAAATGAAACAATGATTCCTTTTAGTTTCTTTCCCGAGTTAAAAGAAAAAACCCCAAAGTTTCCTTTAGCTCCAGGAAAGTGACAGCTAATCATGTGAGCGATAGTGAGGAAAAAAAAAGCCGGCAATTGCATTTAAAAATCGTTACCGACATACACTTCGTATTGCAAAAAATTCGTAAATTCGTAAAACCGAAAATTCCGAGGCGTTCGAAAACCTGTATTTATTTCAGGTACTTCTATAGCGCCGTCATTTTACGCAGCACTTTACATATATATTGCACATTCCCATCAGTCCCCGCCCCCGAGGAGCGTACAATCTAAGGTTCCCTAACTCACATTCATACATACACATACTAGGGACAACTTAGACAGGAGCCAATTCACCTACCAGCATGTCTTTGGAGTGTGGGAGGAAACTGGAGTACCCGGAGCAAACCCACGCAGGCACAGGGAGAACATGCAAACTCCAGGCAGGCGGTGCCGAACCAATGACACTACACAAGACACAGGCTGCAGTCATAAAAAGGGTGCAACTAGAGAGCCCATGCCAAGAGGAGGAAGACTTGCTGTTAGCAGACAGCTCCACCCATCCCCTAAAAACCGGGCCCTCTGGCTATCTGGATCCGATTAATCCTGACTTCTGGGCACCTGATGATGACCACCCTGAGGGGGGGGCTACCAAATCTGACCAGACCTTTACCTGATGAGGATACTTCTGGATATAATAATATATAACGTGTATTATTAGTATACTTCTGGTGAGTGCATGCGCAATTCAGCTATTAATCACAGAGCAGCACCATGGAGTCTACCAGTCACTGGGCACTGGCACTTTTACAGCTGCACAGGATCATACTGTTTATACATACTGGATCATACTGGTCATACTGGATCATACTGGATCATACTGGATCATCATACTGGTTCATACTGGATCATACTGGTTACTGGATCATACTGGATCATACTGGATCATACTTCAGTCCCTGCAAATACACATTGTCATTGTAGCTGCACTGTTGATTCTTTGTTATGTAAGGCTTGTGTTGGTACCTGGAGTGCACAGCAGCTGATTGGATAGCGCTCACCTTTATCCATTGATGTTTCACAGCTGATCACATGTAGAGATTACCGGATATCGGCGTTCTTTTCCTCCCACTTCTGAGTTTGTCAGAGAAAAGGAGAGCCGTAACCAGCAAGCCGTCAGGACATCGTTTTCATTGATAATCAGGGCACTGATCATCAGTACCTCCTCATCAGTGTCCATCAGTACCTCCTCATCAGTGTCCATCAGTACCTCCTCATCAGTGTCCATCATCAGTACCTCCTCATCAGTGTCCATCAGTACCTCCTCATCAGTGTCCATCAGTACCTCCTCATCAGTACCTCCTCATCAGTGCCCATCAGTACCTCCTCATCAGTGTCCATCAGTACCTCCTCATCAGTGCCCATCAGTGCCTCCTCATCAGTGTCCATCAGTACCTCCTCATCAGTGTCCATCAGTACCTCCTCATCAGTGTCCATCAGTACCTCCTCATCAGTGTCCATCAGTACCTCCTCATCAGTGTCCATCAGTACCTCCTCATCAGTGTCCATCAGTACCTGCCTCATCAGTACCTCCTCATCAGTGCCCATCAGTACCTCCTCATCAGTGCCCATCAGTACCTCCTCATCAGTGCCCATCAGTGCCTCCTCATCAGTGCCCATCAGTACCTCCTCATCAGTGTCCATCAGTACCTCCTCATCAGTGCCTCCTCATCACTGCCCATCAGTACCTCCTCATCACTGCCCATCAGTACCTCCTCATCAGTGTCCATCAGTACCTCCTCATCAGTGTCCATCAGTACCTCCTCAATCAGTGCCCATCAGTACCTCCTCATCAATGTCCATCAGTACCTCCTCATCAATGTCCATCAGTACCTCCTCATCAGTGTCCATCAGTACCTCCTCATCAGTGTCCATCAGTACCTCCTCACAGTGCCCATCAGTGCCTCCTCACCAGTGCCCATCAGTGCTCATCACCAGTGCCCATCAGTACCTCCTCATCAGTGTCCATCAGTACCTCCTCATCAGTGCCTCCTCATCAGTGCCCATCAGTACCTCTCATCAGTGCCCATCCTACCTCCTCATCAGTGCCTCCTCATCAGTACCTCCTCATCACTGCCCATCAGTACCTCCTCATCGGTACCCTCCTCATCAGTGTCCATCAGTACCTTCTCAATCAGTGCCCATCAGTACCTCCTCAACAGTGTCCATCAGTACCTCCTCATCAGTGCCATCAGTACCTCCTCATCAGTGCCCATCAGTACCTCCTCATCAGTGCCCATCAGTACCTCCTCATCGGTACCTCCTCATCAGTGCCCATCAGTACCTCCTCATCGGTACCTCCTCATCAGTGTCCATCAGTACCTCCTCAACAGTGTCCATCAGTACCTCCTCAATCTCAGTGCCTCCTCCTCAGTGTCCATCAGTACCTCCTCATCAGTGTCCATCAGTACCTCCTCATCAGTGCCCATCAGTGCAGCCTCATCAGTGTCCATCAGTACCTCTCCTCCATCAGTGCCTCCTCATCAGTGTCCATCAGTACCTCTCCTCATCAGTGTCCATCAGTACCTCCTCATCAGTGTCCATCAGTACCTCCTCATTTAGTGCCCATCAGTGCAGCCTCATCAGTGCACATCAGTGAAGAAGAAAAATTACTTAATTGCAAAAGTTTATAACAGAAACTAAGAAACAATTTTTTTCTAAATTTTTGGTCTTTTTCATTTGTATAGTAAAACATAACCCCCCCCCCCCCCGCGCGGTGATTACATACCACGAAAAAGAAAGCTCTATTTGTATGAAAAAAATTATAAAAATGTCCTATAAGTACAGTGTTGCATGACCGCGCAATTGTCATTCAATGCGTGACCGCGCTGAAAGCTGAATATTGGCTGGGGCAGGAAGGGGGGGAAGTGCCCGGTAGGCAGGAAGGGGGTAGAAGTGTCCTGTAGGCAGGAAGGGGGTAGAAGTGTCCTGTAGGCAGGAAGGGGGTAGAAGTGTCCTGTAGGCAGGAAGGGGGTAGAAGTGTCCGGTAGGCAGGAAGGGGGTAGAAGTGTCCCTGGTAGGCAGGAAGGGGGTAGAAGTGTCCGGTAGGCAGGAAGGGGGTAGAAGTGCCGGTAGGCAGGAAGGGGGTAGAAGTGCCCGGTAGGCAGGAAGGGGGTAGAAGTGCCCTGTAGGCAGGAAGGGGGTAGAAGTGTCCTGTAGGCAGGAAGGGGGTAGAAGTGCCCGGTAGGCAGGAAGGGGGTAGAAGTGCCCGGTAGGCAGGAAGGGGGTAGAAGTGCCCTGTAGGCAGGAAGGGGGTAGAAGTGCCCTGTAGGCAGGAAGGGGGTAGAAGTGGGTAGGCAGGAATGGGGTAGAAGTGCCCTGTAGGCAGGAAGGGGGTAGAAGTGCCCTGTAGGCAGGCAGGAAGGGGGGGTAGAAGTGCCCTGTAGGCAGGAAGGGGGTAGAAGTGCCCGTAGGCAGGAAAGGGGTAGAAAGTGCCCTGTAGGCAGGAAGGGGGTAGAAGTGCCCAGGAAGGGGGGGGAGAATGTGCCCGGTAGGGAGGGGGTAGACGTGCCCGGTAGGCAGGAAGGGGGTAGAAGTGTCCTGTAGGCAGGAAGGGGGGGGGAAGTTCCCGGTAGGCAGGAAGGGGGTAGAAGTGCCCCGTAGGCAGGAAGGGGGTAGAAGTGCCGGTGGGCAGGAAGGGGGTAGAAGTGCCCTGTAGGCAGGAAGGGGGTAGAAGTGCCTGGTAGGCAGGAAGGTGGGGGTAAAGTGCCCGGCAGGCAGGAAGGGGGGGGGGGAGTGCCCGGCAGGCAGGAAGGGGGGGGGGGGGGAAGTGCCCGTAGACAGGAAGGGGGGGGGGGAAGTGCCGGCAGGCAGGAAAGGGGGGGGAAGTGCCCGGCAGGCAGGAATGGGGGGGGGGGAGTGCCCGGGGGGCAGGAAGGGGGTGGGGGAAGTGCCCGGCGGGCAGGAAGGGGGTAGAAGTGCCCGGCAGGCAGGAAGGGGGGGAAGTGCCCGGTAGGCAGGAAGGGGGGGGGGGAAGTGCCCGGTAGGCAGGAAGGGGGTGGAAGTGCCCGGCAGGCAGGAAGGGGGGGGGGGGAAGTGCCCGGTAGGCAGGAAGGGGGTGGAAGTGCCCGGCAGGCAGGAAGGGGGGGGGGGAAGTGCCCAGGTAGGCAGGAAGGGGGGGGGAAGTGCCCGGCAGGAAGGGGGGGGGGGAAGTGCCCGGCAGGCAGGAAGGGGGGGGAAGTGCCCGGCAGGCAGGAAGGGGGGGGGGAAGTGAAGAAGTGCCCGGTAGGCAGGAAGGGGGGGGAAGTGCCCGGCAGGAAAGGGGGGGGGGAAGTGCCCGGTAGGCAGGAAGGGGGGGGGGGAAGTGCCCGGCAGGCAGGAAGGGGGGGGGGAAGTGCCCGGTAGGCAGGAAGGGGGGGGGGAAGTGCCCGGTAGGCAGGAAGGGGAGGGAAGTGCCCGGCAGGAGGGGGGGGGGGGAGTGCCCGGTAGGCAGGAAGGGGAGGGAAGTGCCCGGCAGGAAGGGGGGGGGGGAAGTGCCCGGTAGGCAGGAAGGGGGGGGGGGTGCCCGGTAGGCAGGAAGGGGGGGGGAAGTGCCCGGTAGGCAGGAAGGGGGGGGGGGGGGGGGGAGTGCCCGGTAGGCAGGAAGGGGAGGGGGAAGTGCCCGGCAGGAAGGGGGGGGGGGAAGTGCCCGGTAGGCAGGAAGGGGGGGGGGGAAGTGCCCGGCAGGGAAGGGGGGGGAAGTGCCCGGTAGGTGTCTACACTCTACAATTAACCTCTATGTGACACGTCAGGGGGAGGAGCCCCGGCTGCTCATGTTTTCAAGTGGAACTGTAATAAAGTTTTTAGCAGTTGGTGGGTTGTGGGGCCCCTGCACGCCTCCATGGTGGGATTGCTCTGATTCTGATTGGTCTCTGTCTGTGCCGGCAGGTCAGTAAGCAGCTGTCTGAGGAATACGAGAAGCTGGTCCATCCTGAGCGCGTATCTGAGGACACCAAACCCGTGAAGATCAAAGAGGAACCCGTCACAGACATCACATTCCCCATCAACGAGGAGCTGGAAGGAGACCTGGCCCCCGGGGATCAGTCTCTTCCTGTAGGGGTCCTGGGGGCCCAGAGTGACCGCTTCTCTTCTAATATGGACGTCGATTCGTCTCCCCAGCCGTCGGGTAAGAAACGCATTTCTCCACTCTTGTACTTGACGCATCTATCACTCTCTGCGTACCGCCCCTCCCCCGGTGTGGCCACGCCCCCCTCTGGTCGTATAGGATGCAGCAAGAGGACGTCTGATGACTGGAAGAATGTCGTCTTTTCATACATTACCTTTAACCACTTCCCGTCCGGCGCATGTATATAAACGGCCAGACGGTGGCAGCGCAGGGTCGGGTGAACGTTTATAAAACGGCCTCACCGCCCCCTGCTTGTGCGCGCTCCTTGGGAGCGCGCAGCACCGCGATTCAGTGCCGGACACAGCGGAACACCGATCGTCGTACAGGACCTCTGTGCGAGGTCCCGATCATGTGATCACTGATGTAAGGTGGCCCCTGATGTAATGGGGACTCTGTTGGGGACCCTGATGTAAGGGGGTGTCTGATGGGGACCTTGTTATAGGGGAAGACTCTGATGGGAGTTGAGAATCTTGATAGGAACCTTCATGTAAAAGGGGACACTAAAGTAAGGGGGACTGTGATAAGGCCCCTGATGTAAGGGGGACTCTGTTGGGGACCCTGATGTAAGGACTACCCTAATGTAAGGGGGACTCTGTTGGGGACCCTGATGTAAGGGAGAGAATCTGGTGGGGACCCTGATGTAAGGGGGGGACCAGTGAGGGGACTACGACAGGGTTCTGGATGTATGATGGACTATTGGGGACACTGATGTAAGAGAGGAACTCTGCTGGGGACCCAGATGTACGAAGGACCCTGATGGGGTCCCTAATGTAAAGGTGGACTCATTCATTTATAAAATCTAGGCTGTGGCCCTCACAGTGGAAATATAGGGGACCCGTTCCCTAGCTAGATACTAACAGGCTGCACTTTGACTGCCCTGTCTGTGTGGTCTGGGTACTGCAGGGGGAACTGATCCTGCTAGGTATACACCCGCGCCCGCTGACGCCCCGCCCGCCCGCTGACACCCGCGCCCGCTGACACCCGCACCCGATGACACCCGCGCCCAATGACACCCGCGCCCGGTGGATGATCCTGGTAATCTCTTTATATATGTTCACCTAGTGAGCTGCTGTTTCTCCTCTCCGCAGGATCAGACGTCAACACCTCGCCTGTGGAGCCTGACGCAGGTGAAGATGGAGCCTCAGGACACGGAGGAGTCGGCAGTACACGGGCACAGCGTTCTGGGTAATGACGTGTTTGAAGAGCCCATGTCTGGGATCAGCGACTCGGCCATTCCAGCCAGTCCGAACGGATCCGAAGGCAGCTATGCCTCTCACTCCCCCGACAGCCTAATGGGGTCCTCTCCGGTCTTCAACCAACGCCCCAAGAAGAAGATGAAGAAAATGTAATGGGGGGAGGGGATGAGGACAGGTCCCGCAGAACATTCTTCATTGCTGGTGTCACAGGGACTGTGTTCTGGGACTACAATACACCCGTCTGTTACACAAACCCAGTGTGGATGAAGGACATTTTTTCTTTTTTTTTTTTAAACAAAGTGTTTTGGTAAAGTTATTAAACGTTATCAGAGTGCGTTGTGTAGTGACGTGTTCATCGAAGAATGTGGGGGGGGGGGGCAGGATTGTAAGTCGTTGTTCCCACTCTGATAGGAACTGTGATATAAGGAGGAAAGGGGCTCTGATGGGGACCCTGATGTAAGGGGGGCTCTGATGGGGACCCTGATGTAAGGGGAGCTCTAATGGGGATCCTGATGTAAGGGGGGGGGACTCTGATGGGGACCCTGATGTAAGGAAGAAAGGGGCTCTGATATTCACCCTGATGTAAGGGGAGCTCTTATGTAAGGGGGGCTCTGATGGGGACCCTGATGTATGGGGAGGCTCTGATGGGGACCCTGATGTAAGGGTGGGGGGGCTCTGATGGGGACCCTGATGTAAAGGGGGGGGCTCTGATGGGTACCCTGATGTAAGGGGGGGGCTCTAATGGGGACCCTGATGTAAGGGGGGGCTCTTATTGGGACCCTGATGTAAGGGGGGGCTCTTTTTGGGACCCTGATGTAAGGGGGGGCTCTGATGGGGACCCTGATGTAAGGGGGGGGCTCTGATGGGGACCCTGATGTAAGGGGGGCTCTGATGGGGACCCTGATGTAAGGGGGGGGCTCTGATTGGGACCCAGATATAAGGGGGGGCTCTGATGGGGACCCTGATGTAAGGGGCGGCTCTGATGGGGACCCTGATGTAAGGGGGGGGGGGGGGGGGGCTGTGATAGGGACCCTGATGTAAGGGGGCTCTGATGTAGGAGAGACTCTGATCTAAGGGGGGCTCTAATGTAGGAGAGACTCGGATGTAAGGGGGACTGTGATATAAGAGGGCCTCTGTTGGGTACCCTGATGAAAAGTAAGCGGGGGGACAGGATTGTAAGTCGCTCTTCCCATTCAGGGCGATGTGACTTGAGCTCCAAAAGTAAAGATTTGTTATATTATAGGGAGCATTTACAGAAATGTTAGAGTCGAGTTCCAGGAATTCAGCTCTTTTGTAAAAACTGAAGGCACTCCGTTATTTCAGTCCAAAGAGGTGCATGGCATCACCTGGACTTGTCTCTGTTCTTTACATCTGACCGTTTTATTGCACTCCCAGAAGATGGCAATCGCTGTATTTCCAGGAGCCCAATGCTGATGGTTCAGGTCTAAAGCATCTTTAACATTAGAGTCAGTGCAGCTGCTATGCCTGCCCCTCTTCACAGAAGCCTTTGCATTATGTGAACAAAAATACAAAGGCTTCTCTGAATGGGCAGCAGAGGGGGGGGGCGGACATAACTGCTCTATGTGCCTCTCTCGCCCCAAGGGTCAGTGCAGCCTCATCAGTGCAAAATTTTATGCCAGAAACAAAAGGTTTTGTTTTTTTTTGGGTGTTTTTTTTTTTGCTTTTTGAGTTTTTGTTTGGGGTTTTTTTTTTCCAGCCTTTTTTTTGTTTAGCAAAAAATAAACACCAGTGGTGAGTAAATACCACCGAATGAAAGCTCTATCTGTTTGAGTACAGTGTTGCATGACCGCGCAATTGTCATTCAAAAATTCAAAATGCGTCAGCTCTGAAAGCTGAGAATTGGCCTGGGCTCTGATGGGGACCCTGGGGGTAAGTGCCCCGCATTGAAGTCGTTAAAACGTTTTTTTTTTTTAAAAGAGACCCCTGTCCCATTAAAATTGGCTGCAATTCTCACCTCCTATCTGTCACTGTCCCCATAGACTGACCACTCTGTGATGCAGCGCTTGTCCCCATGCTTGAGCATCAGGGCTGGGCCAAGGGGTAGGCAAGAAAGGCACGCACCTTGGGCGCTTCAGCAAAAAAGCGGGATTTGCAACCAACGTTGCAGCTCACGGGAAGGGGGGGGGGGGGGGGACACATTGACCTTTTCACCTTTTGAGTGTTAAAGGACCTTTGGCAAGCACTGCCAGGCATCATCCAACCTACGCCCTGAAAGCCCGGGGTGTCAGAAACCTGCCCCTCATGGTGTCATGGTCAGCATAAGCCCGCAAAGTGCAGAGAATGGCGCCTTGTCATTTGGTGATGACCTGTCAGGGCACTTCTGACATCATCAGGCCGCCTTTGACATCACGTGACCCGACCGAAGCCAGCTGGAAAATGGTTGGAGGTTTAGATTGAGCTGTAAAGGAGGCCTCGTTCTTCAGACTATCACTTTGCCCGTTCACGGCCGGATCCTTAAAGCCTGCCCCCGACCCCTCACATTCCCCTGCTGCCCTCTCAGCCAAACCCGGCTTAGGTTTAGGGTTGAACGGGTCTTACACGGGCTGGAAGAAGTCGTCCCGGTGTGAAAATATTGGGGGCATGGAAGTTGGCTGCATGACCAAAGCACTACGTCACGGGAGGGGTGTGAGGGGTAACACGCTTCATCATGGGAGCAGAAGGCATGACCGGGCAGAGCACTGTATTATTATTATTATTATTATTACAGGATTTATATTATTATTATTATATATATTATTATTATTATTATTATACAGGATTTATATTATATATTATTATAATATACAGGATTTATATTATTATTTATATTATTATACAGGATTTATATTATTATTATTATATATTATTATATATATTATTATTATTATACAGGATTTATATTATATATTATTATTATTATACAGGATTTATGGCGCCAACAGTTTATGCTCAGCGCTTTACAATATAACGGGAGACAATACAGCAACAATACAGATCAATACAAGAGGGATAGGAGGGCCTGATCCTGGGAGCTTACAATCTAGGAGGGAGGAGCTAATGGTACAAAAGGTAGTAACTGTGGGGGATGGACTGGTTGGAAGAGTAGAAGATTCCATTATTAGCTGAGGGCAGCATAGGCTTCCCTGAAGAGAGAGGTTTTCAGAGATCGCCTAAAAGTAAGCAGAGTAGGTGATAGTCTGATAAATTGGGGTAGAGAATTCCAGAGGATGGGGAAAGCTCTGGAGACGAGCATGGGAGGAAGAGAAAAGAGAGCTAGAGAGCAGGAGGTCTTAGGAGGAGCGGAGAGGACGGTTTGGGTGATATTTAGAGACAAGATCGGTGATGTAATTTGGGGCGGAGTTATAAATGGCTTTATATGTTATTGTTAATGTTTTGAATTTTATCTGTTGGGCAACGGGAAGCCAGTGGAGGGATTGGCAGAGAGGGGGCCAGTGGAGGGATTGGCAGGTGGACACTGAGTGGAGGCCAGTGGAGGGATTGGCAGAGAGGGGTGGTGGACACTGAGTGGAGGCCAGTGGAGGGATTGGCAGAGAGGGGTGGAGGCCAGTGGACACTGAATGGAGGCCAGTAGAGGGATTGGCAGAGAGGGGTGGAGGACACTGAATGGAAGCCAGTGGAGGGATTGGCAGAGAGGGGTGGAGGCCAGTGGAAGCCAGTGGAGGGATTGGCAGAGGGAGGGGGGTGGAGGACACTGAATGGAAGCCAGTGGAGGGATTGGCAGAGAGGGGTGGAGGCCAGTGGAGGGATTGGCAGAGAGGGGTGGAGGACACTGAGTGGAGACCAGTGGAGGGATTGGCAGAGAAGGGTAGAGGACACTGAGTGGAGGCCAGTGGAGGGATTGGCAGAGAGGGGTGGAGGACACTGAGTGGAGGCCAGTGGAGGGATTGGCAGAGAGGAGTGGCAGGTATAGAACGGTTAGTAAGGTGGATGAGTCTGGCAGCAGCATTCATGATAGACTGAGGAGGGGATAGCCTGCAAAGAGGTCTGCCAATGAGGAGGGAGTTACAATAGTCAAGGCGAGATATAACAAGGGAGGGAATAAGTTGCTTAGTGGTTTCCGAGGTTAGGAACGGGCATACCTTGGAGATGTTGCGGAGGTGAAGTCTACAGGATTTGGACAGTGATTGGATTTGGGGCTGAAGGGACAGATGGGAGTCTAGGATTACACCTAGTACCCTGGCATGAGGGGACGGACTGATGGTTGTGTTATTGATCTTGATGGAGAAGTCAGGGGAGGGGGCACAGGCTGGGGGGAATACTAAGCTCAGTTTTGTAAAGATTGAGTTTGAGGAAGTGGAGTGACATCCATGCCGATATGTCACTTAGTAGGTTAGTAATGCGACAGGAGACTGAAGGGGTGAGGTGAGGGGTAGACTGAAGGGGTGAGGTGGAGGAGGGGAAGGGGTGAGGTGTGGAGGAGACTGAAGGGGTGAGGTGAGGGGTAGAAAGATAGATTTGTGTGTCATCAGCATAGAGATGGTTCTTAAAGCCATGGGAGTTTATCAAGTGACCAAGGGAGGATGTGTAGATGGAGAAGAGAAGGGGTACAAGGACAGAACCTTGAGGGACCCCTACAAAGAGAGTGAGTGAAGAGGAGGAGGCAGCGTTATAGGTAACGCTGAAGGAGCGCTGCGGTAGGAGGAGAACCAGGAGAGAGCAGAGTCTCTGGCCAAGAGAGTGGAGTTTTGTGAGGAGGAGGGGATGGTCAACTGTATCAAAAGCCGCATAGAGGTCAAGTAGTAAGAGTACGAAGTAGTGACCATTGGTTGGAATGAGTATGGAGTAGTGGCCATTGGCATGAGTATTGAATAGTGGCCATTGGTTGGGAGGAGTACAGAGTAGTGGCCATTGGTTGGGAGGAGTACGGAGTAGTGGCCATTGGTTGGGAGGAGTACGGAGTAGTGGCCATTGGTTGGGAGGAGTACGGAGTAGTGGCCATTGGTTGGGAGGAGTACGGAGTAGTGGCCATTGGTTGGGATGAGTACGGAGTAGTGGCCATTGGTTGGGAGGAGTACGGAGTAGTGGCCATTGGTTGGGATGAGTACGGAGTAGTGGCCATTGGTTGGGAGGAGTACGGAGTAGCGGCCATTGGTTGGGATGAGTACGGAGTAGCGGCCATTGGTTGGGAGGAG